AAAGGAAACCTCCTAAAACTGCTGGTGGGAATGTAAGTTGATTCAGCCATTGTGGAAAACAGTATGGACGTTCCTTAGAAAACTAAGGAATAGAAAACTAAAAATAGAATTACCATATGGTCCAGCAGTTACACTCCTGGATATATATCCTGAGAAAACCATCATCTGAAAAGATACTCATGTTCACAGCAGCATTATTTACAATATAGCCAAGACATGGAAGCAACCTAAAATGTCCATCAACAGATGAATAGATAGAGGATGTAGTATAGATACACAGTATTACTCAGCCATAAAAAAGAAATTGTGCCATTGGTAGCTTCATGGATGGACCTAGAGATTATCATACTAAGTGAAGTCACTCAAATACCATACAATATCACTTATATGTCAAATCTAAAGTATGATACAAATGAACTTATTTACGAAACAGAAACAGACTCACAAACAGAAAACAAACTTACAGTTAGGGGAAAAGGGGTAGGGGAGGGGTAAATTAGCAGATATAAACTGCTCTGTGTAAAATAACCAAGGACCTCCTGTAACCTAGGAAAAAGAATGTGTATAACTGAGTCACCACTGTACACAGAAACTAGCAACACTGTAACTCAGCTACACTTCAATTAAGAAAAACAACTTTGACAGCATATACTAATAACCTAAGCCTACTTATTCTCTACTAAAACCACACTGGTTCTGCTAGGCATCATTCCTCTTTTAGAGGGGAGCGGAGCAGTAGTGGGTAGGGTGGGTCATGAGTAAGGAAACCAGACACTTCAGGTCTGTCTCTAGGAAGATTACAGAGCGAGTTATCAGAAGAATGTGACAGTAGATCATCAGTTTGGACTAAGGTTTTGACATGTGATGATTTGAACAAAACTAAGGGATTATTTCTCAATAAAATTAAAAATGATGGCTTCCTGGTAGGCAGAGCCTTGGTGTGGGCAGTGCACCCTGGATACTTTGCCAGGTTCATGGACGTGCCATGTCTGGGCTGCGGTTCTTTAATAAGCCTAGCTTTCAGTTTGGTCTAAGGGTGCTTCCTCCTGGAGGAGGAAGCATCTATAAAAACATGTGTTTCAATAACTTAATTAAGGAAAGTCTTAATTAAATGTAGAGTGTCCAAGCATTACAATAACCCAGATTTTTGTTTGGATTAATTGGAATGCCATCATTTATTTCAGGCCTTTTCCTGTTTTGCCTTAAATCTGGAGAGTGCCACGGTTTCCTTCAGAAATGCTATTTTCAAAAACAAAGAGGCACTGCCCTGAAAACATACATATAAGACCAATTTTTTTTATTTTTTTAATTATTTAAATTGGAGGCTAATTACTTCACAATATTGTAGTGGTTTTTGCCATACACTGACATGAATCAGCCATGGGTGTACATGTGTTCCCCATCCTGAACCCCCTAGACCAATTTTTTTTAACTGTAGAAATACATGGTAAGCAGATCTTTTTTTTAAAAATGTATTCAAAGATAAGCTTTATTCCAATGTTTACGTAAAAATGAGTTGATGTCAAACAGGAAAATGTTTTTATAAAGGGTTAAAATTTATCAAACAACAGAACTTGGTCCTTCCCTTTAGTTTGAATTCAACTGGCTGACGCATCATTATTAGTATGCGCCCTCACTAATCATTTTCATCACACACAATATCTGAGTGTCTTTGGATGGCACTTCCTCTTTCTCTGGAAGTCTCTTAAACTGCTTTCAGTTACAAGAGAAGGGCAAGGATTTTATCGGCTCATACTCTACTCCACTGGAGGCAAGGATACACCCCTCAATTCTCTTGTTTAAATTGTGGCTGTTGGCAAAGTGTCCAAATGAAGGATTTAAGGCTAACACACAAAGAACATAGTATAATCTATGTATAACAGTAACTTTGCTTCAAATTTTTTCTATTAAGAATTATTTCTATTATCTCTCCACAAGGAAGTTATAAAAATACCTGTAAAAACATTGAAAAGGCTCTTTAAAATCCTGGAATGAAAAATTCTGAAGTATAAATTATGATACATCTTCTATGATTTGCAAATAAAGAATAAAATAAATTCTACAAGTTGGAATTTCTGAATGATTTTGGCAGGAATTTACCAGAAGGAGCCAGAACATCAAACCTTAACAATTTTCTATTTTCATCCCAATTGAGTTTTTGAAAAGCTGTATAATCTGTTGACAGGTATAGTCCACATACGAACTTGCTTCTGCTGTTAATGATGAAGTCAATCTGAAGGACAGAGATTTGTATGCTGGATGCTTCAGGCTATTCCATGCAACTGACTGGTCTTCTCTTATTTTTTCCATCATGTTTTAAATAAAAGTAAATCTATATATGGTAAAAAATTTAAATGGTACAAGAAGATTTAAAATAATCAGTGAATATCCTTTTTGCCCATAACCTAGAAAATCTGATGTCTTCCAAATCATCAGTCACATGAATAATTTGCAAAGTGAAGTCAACCTTACTGTCTCTTCATCTGAAAATTATTCTCAGGATTTCTGGAATGTGTTGCTTCTCTCATATATTACCTCTGTTACAGAGGATAGCCATGCAGTCGTCTTCTTCTAAAAAAAAAACTAACTACGAAAGCAACTCGCATGCTCTGCTCCAAGAGAGCAAGTCCAGGCAACACCCTGTACTCCGTGGATCTGGTCCTGGCTACAGGCAGGGGCTCTGGTATCAACCAGAGACTGGGGCGGGTGGCCAGAGCTCAGCCAAGCCCTTCCTGAATGCCTCGGATCCTCCGGGCCAGCTGCACATCCTTCGGGAAGAGCGTGACGCGGCCGGCGTGTAAGGAGAGGAGACAGGCATCCTCGAAGAGATGAACTAGAAACGCTTCTGCTGCCGGGCGGCAGAAGGGGGTCTTTCTTAACAGCAGGAGTGTGGTCCTCTGAAGAGTTCGTATCTCCTTCAGGATTCTGTATCTCCGGCGAGCAGGTGAACGGGAGGCCGTGCCTCACAGACAGGCTGCAGGCAGGCCGGCGCGGAGGAAAAGGGATCGTGGCGGGCTACCTAAGGACGGGGCTGGCCGGCGTGCGGCGGGAGCCGCGCTCGCGGGGCGCCTCCTTGGTGTTCCGGGCTTGCGGCTCCGGCGCGGGCCCATGGCGGGCGCAGGGCTGCGGCCCCGCGGCTCCCTCTAGATCTCCTAGGTCCGGGGGCAGAGGCTGGGAGGGCCGGGACGACCCGGCCGCGTGCCCTGGCTGGGTGCTGTCGGTAAGCAGATCTTGAGAAATAATGCAGGCAGAACAGAAGTCTGAGACAAGAATTACACAGCACAGCAGCCAGCTGTGTCAATAAGAGCCCAAGGTCAGGATCGCCACCAAATGAGTCAAACAGGCTAAATCCACCCCCAAAGCCAGCAACGCCCAACTGACAGCTGGAGCCTCCAGAAGCTGTTCTTTATAGAAGACACTACATGTTCTCTTAGGGATTCTCTGACCGTGCAGTCTGTCTTTGGATACGTGTGTTCACCATTCATGGGTACACTGCTCGGCAGAACGTAAACCTACCCAATGATGTAAAAGCACCACAGAAAAGCAGTTGATTTGTGATTGATCCAGGCCCACTCTTCACCTTATCCCTCCCTCCCTTTCTCCACCTGATGGAAATTTCGTGGCTTGTAAAAAATCTTCATCAGCGTAAGCAAAGGGAAGACAGAATGTAGTATCAAGTCCTTTTTGTTTGTTTTTGCTTTTTTATATTCTTAAATAGTCTCAACGAAAACCTGGTGGATTAAAATCACAATCCAAATTAAATATTTCTTCCATTTTTTAACTAAAGGGATAAGCTCTTTTGCAGTCCAAGCAGTTACTGTCAAAAAACAGGAAACTGATTTAGTCACTCATAACATTTATAAAAATCAAATGAATAAAATAGATGTGGGAGACTGCTTGCTTACCTGGAAAATGTGCTGGTTTTAGAAGCAGTGTGGTACAACATGAAGGATGTGGGTGGTGGAGTCCATAGATTTATCTGGGTTTGAATCCCCATTTATCACCTACTAGCTGTAACCTCTGAAAAAGATAATGGCACCCCACTCCAGTACTCTTGCCTGGAAAATCCCATGAATGGAGGAGCCTGGTAGGCTGTGGTCCATGGGGTCGCAAAGAGTCAGACACAACTGAGCGACTTCTCTTTCACTTTTCACTTTCCTGCATTGGAGAAGGAAATGGCAACCCACTCTAGTGTTCTTGCCTGGAGAATCCCAGGGATGGGGGAACCTGGTGGGCTGCCGTCTATGGGGTCGCACAGAGTCGGACACGACTGAAGTGACTTAGCAGCAGCAGCAGCTGTAACCTCAAGTTACCTTCCCTATAAAACAAGGGCTTACCTGGTTGCTCAGATGGTAAAGAATCTGCCTGCAATGCAGGAGATCCAGGTTTGATCCCTGGGTTGGGAAGGTCCTCTGAAGAAAGGAATGGCAACCCAGTCCAGTACTCTTACCTGGAAAACCCCACGGACAGAGGAGCCTGGTGGGCCACAGTCCATGGGGTCGCAGGGAGTCGGACACGACTGAGCGACTACCATTACCATAATACATATTCTTGCAGGACAGGAGAATTCCATGAGAAAATGTATGAAATGCCTAGCACAGGACTTGGCCACAGTGGCCTTCTAGAAATCCTGGTTGCCCTGCCCTTGTCTTAACTGCCTGGCATAGCAGGTCTACATATCAGCTTGAGGTGCATATATGAGTATCAATAGATTCTCCCTATCTCATTGACCTTAGTCTCCATCAAAACCTGTAAGTATTAAAGAGAAAAAGTGATAGAAAGATCTTACTAGATTTTCCTGACTTGGTGGCAAAACAGTAGGAATCCATGACTTACATATCTTGATGTAGGATAGCACCAAAGGAGATGAGGCTAGACTCAAAGAGGCGGCAGGTGATTCAAGGCACCCATTGAAGAAGTTACGTAAGATGAGCCTTCCAAATTCTGAGCTAATATAAACCTATCCTATCTATTGCACTAATTCTTTTTTCTTCTTCTAGAAAACAAATGATGATGCAATTGATTTTGATTATACTGTTCTACTCCATGAATTCTCAACACAGGTAAAACATAATGATACATAGAATTGCTTAAACTGGAAGTTTTGGCAGGTCATAATATTTTAGAACTCTTGTTCCCCAGGAAATTATTCCCTGCCGTATTCACTTGGTCTGGTACCCCAGCAAACCACTGAAAGTGAAGTACCACTGTCAAGAGCGACAGACACCAGAAGAAGCCTCTGGAACTGAAGACGGATCAGCTATGGCACTGACGGAGCTTAGTAATTTCTGAAAAGCAAGAAAAATCTGTCTATGCCACATTCTAAACAAAATGACTGTACTCTGCATTAAATAGACTAAATCATTATTCTAGTAAAACAGCGAAGTATAAGGCAATATAATAATTTAGGAAAGCCTGTGATTACAAATAAATATTCAAATATTAAAAGATATTGGGATTTTCATTTCTTGATGGGCATGGTTTAGTTTTAACTCTGGGAACAGGTGCGTACTGAACTCTGCCCAGTGACCCCACAGGTTCCTCAGGGTTTCAGCCCCAAAGTATAAAATCTAGTTAATTAGTATATACCACAGCTGGACTGACAAGTATTTATAACAAAACTGATGGTTGCATCTCTAAATCTGCATTTCTCAGTAGTTTTAACATACTGTAGGTAACTAATTTGTATTGTTAAATTGCTTCTATCTAGTATGTGAAAAAGATATTTCAATGAAAGCAAATCATAGGGAAAATATTACCCTATTTTAAGGATAATTTAAAAAGAATTACTATTTTTTATGATTTCAAGCAAGTATTCTTTTTAAATTTTAAAATAAATGTTTGTCCCTAAATGTGTCTATATAAGCAAACTTTGTGCTAAGCTGGGATTCAGTGAGTTCAGTCACTCAGTCGTGTCCAACTCTCCATGACCCCATTGACTGCAGCACGCCAGGCCTCCCTATCTATCGCCAACTCCTGGAGTTTACTCAAACTCATGTCCATTGAGTCAGTGATGCCATCCATCCATTTCATCCTCTATTGTCCCCTTCTCCTCCTGCCTTCAATCTTTCCCAGCATCAAGCTGGGATTAAAGGGTATTTAAATATTAGTTATTTTACAAATAAAACTACAGTGGCTCAAAGATAAAGCTGAGTGTGTACAAACATATGGAACAGTGATGTGACTCAAAGCATATAAAAATTAATAATTTTCATTTATGAACAATTTATAGGCAGTATCACATTCATTTTCCTAATCTCTTTCCAATTTTCAAAAAATTTAAGACATACAAGATAACACAAGGATTTTGCCTGCATTCCATTTGATTCTACTCGTAGTTTTGTTTTGAGCTATGAATAGTTAGAAGTTAATAAGTTCTTCTGAAAGTCAATTGGAAGTTTCTATGTTGGCTCTTGAATAAGAGTCCTTCATGACATAATGAGTTTATTACACTAATTTCTCTCAACTTAGGAAATTCTATGACCTGTTCTGTGACCTTTCCTAAGTGCTACAACCACATAACATGCTGCCTGGCACTTATGGATAAATGAATGAATGCTCACAATAAACTGCCTGTGAAAACATTAACTATTTCAATGATGCATTAGTCTTATTTGAAGACATTTTAAGCAGCAATTAAAGCTTGAATTCAAAAATTTATACTTTCTCGGCAAGGCATGTAGATGTTTTCTAAAAAGGGATTTATTCCTATATGTCACAATTTACTACTTAACCTGGTGGCTGCCTTGGTTAACTGGCATCAATTTTAAGATCTGTTCATATTTCAAAAGTATTAAAATATGAAAAACTCTAAAACTTCAGTATTAAATTTTAGTGGGACTTACCAGGTGGTCCAGTGGCTAAGACTCTGTGCTCCCAATGCAAGGGGCTTGGGTATGATCCCTGGCCAGAGAACAAATCCCATGTGCTGCAACTAAAAGTTTGTAAGCCACAACAAAGGTCAAAGATCCTGAGGGCCATAACTAAGACCCAGCTGTCACGGCCACAATGTAGTGACTTCACAACCTAAATCTAAGTGTGAGCAAGGAGGAAAGAAAGAATAGAAAATCGACTGCATATGTTTACAGATAAAGTTACCAAGCTAAGAACTAACAGCCCACAATCTAACATCACACAAAAGAATATTAACAATATGACACATGTGAACGTTTCATGTTTTGGAGGTACAGGTGATATACTGCAGGGGTCTTTAACCGTGCCTGTACATTAGAATACACTGGAAAACTTCTGATTTTGATCCAAAGAAGCAGGAGTACCTAAGGGTTGGCCTGGATATTTTTTTAAAGCTCCGCAACTAATTTTTAAATTGGGAATCAGGGTGATTACTGTCTAGCGCTGCTACCATTCTCCAACACAAATAACACTGTCTTTCTTTAAATTAGCCAACAATTATCCTAAGAGCAGTATAAAAGAAACCCTTATTTATAAATACCGTCATTAATTTTTTCCTTTTGCAGACTTTGGCTGGTAACGTGGTCTTTACCAACTACAACCAAACTGAGTCAACAAATGATGTTGGTTCTGGTCTTGGATGGGTTCCTGTGAGATAGTCTTGTTTTTTGGATGAGCCAATTCTGAACAATATGGTAGAACTTCCTGGCAAAGTCCAATATACCCTAGAAACAAAAGCTTAGCGTTTGTCTTTCATAATCTCAACACAGTATTTGGTACATTCCAACAGACTCAAATTCAACTAACATTTACTGCATGGATGAAACAGACTACCCAACAACCCTGTAAGTTGTATTTTATTATTTCCAAACTGCAGACACATTAAAATGAACACAGACAAGCATATGAAAGGGTCTGTTTTTTACCTCACAGGTCTGCAAAAAAGTAACATTTATGCCCCTGAAAAGCAGCAGTTACAAATGTGTATAAGCCACAAGCTGAAGCTCTATATAAAACAGCTAGAAATTTAGCTAGCATTTTAATAACCCAATGAAGAATCTGAAAAATGTTCTTCATTAAGATTATATGGAATCCTTTTTTGTTTTAAAAAAACCACCTACTTTTCTGTTCGCTGTGTCTATGAGACTTAGTTTTGTCACCTTTATTTTAATTTGTAGATCCACATATAAGTAAAATCATATAGTATCTGTCTTTAACTTATTTCACTTAGCAATAATAACCTCTAGGGTCATCCAGGTTGTCACAAAGGAACCCCACTCTTAAAAAAAAAAGTGACACTCCAAGAAGGATCATGATCTATACAATTCACTTTCAAGTATTCGGCAAAACTATTTTTTAAAAGAATGGAAGTATGTGACACAGATGGACAACAAACAGAAAGCAGATATGACAGATTATCTGATAAACACTCTTAACAAACTTCACTATTCACTCTAGACGGGTGGTATGTGGCTGTTCTTTCTACTGTGCTTTCAGCTTTTCTGTATCCTGAAAATTCTCATGCTGAAAAATCTGCACGTTTATACATGTTCTAAGCTTATAAGTAGAACAGAAATAAGTCTCCTCTCTCAAATATTAAATATATTTCAATAATAACCATATTTTATTTGAGGTATAAAACCAATCAACAGTTGAGATATACACAGAATCAACCTTTACATAATAGAAACTCCTGAATATATAGGAAGGGCTTCTAAAGTTACTTGTTTTCAGCCTGAATTTATTCCACTGGAATCCATTAAAGTATCCAAAGTTGCAGATACAGTTAAAGTTCGTCAACAAAGTGAGAAAAATTAGTTCTTGGCTTTTCCTTTTTTTACAGGAAGTTGACCTGTAGCTTCCAAATACTTATTAATGAGTTCTTCTTGTGTAGCTGGTGAACATGGCTGATATCTGCAATACTCCATTGTATATTCTCCCTTCCCCTGGGGGTTCAAAACAAAATCAAAAAGATTTTAAAAAACCAGACCTCCAAAAACTATCAAGTAAAGAAAGTCATGCAAAGCCAAGATTTCACAAAAATGATCATTTTGTAGGATGGTCTCTTGAAGAGCACTGAAGTAAAATTTAAATATCTGCTTACCTCTGTGCATGACCTAAGTTCCGTAGAATAACCAAACATATTATTCAGGGGGACCTGAAAACACACACAGTAACTACTTCAGCATTGCCTGCTGGAAAATGAGAAAAACACAGAAGCCTTAGCCATTTAACTCCTCTAGACTCAGCTTTCTACTAGTAACTCTTGGTTTAAAAGAATTAGAAGCCAAAGAAAAGCTTATTTTTGTTTTACTGAGAGAAGAAACCCCATTTGAAGATAATTTCATTTGAGTCACAACTAGCAAACTGATCTTTCAGTTTCGCGGAGTGGACACCACTGACGGCCTCCCCCATCCCCACTCCACACAGCTGCAGCTCAAGTCCTCAGTGTTTCTTCTGTGAAAAGGTGACTATTCATGCAGCTTTCCTCCGGACTCCTCAATGATATGCCCACAGTAATCTTCTAGGAGACCTTAGGTAATATGACTAAACCCTTTCTCCCGTGAACTTTGAGTAAGGCAAAGGAGATAAATATTATCCTAATAAATGAGAACATAAGAAAACAGCTATGTAAATAAAGCTATCATGAGAAAGAAAGGTAATTACACATCTAAGAAAATGACATACAAAAGGCCTACATGAAATGAATCTCATTTTTACCTTTTACACTTAAAGAGTAAAGCAAATTATAGAAATTGACACACACATATATAAGCACAAATTCAACACTCGAATAGGCAGGGAAATGTGCCAATTTGCTCTACAATTTCCAAACACAAAAGCTAATCCTGATTTTCTCCTGTGGATAATAAAAGCAAGGTTGTCAGTGACTAACAGTACTTACATCTGCATACAGTGTAAAATAGTCCTCAATTCCATCTTGTCCTGTGATTACCCCATGGCGTCGGTTAATTCCTGCAATCACTGGTCCCTGAAATTCATTTGGGGCTATAACTTCCACCGACATAATAGGCTCAAGAATACATAATGCTGTATTTGCCAGGGCTGGGGTTTAAAAAAAATAAATAATACATCAGTTTATTAATCTTTAAACAAACTGGAACTCTTTCCTTATCCAGATGTACAAAAGGGAGATGGAAAGTGCTCTCCCAAAGGTACACACACAAATGATAAGATTAAAATATTTGATCTGGACTCATTTTTCTAGCAGCAGTAGCAGTCACTCTTTTAAATGGAACTTCCAGAAAGACAACACTTAATTCTAATATTAGTATGTCCATTACCATATTTTTATCCTTATAAATCATGAGGTTGCAGAGAATAATATAAAAGGGGTCTTAGAACAACATTCAATAAAGTCCTTTCCCACTTAAATTATGCAGTTAAGGGTCACTAATTCTGAGATCCTTCACTAGCTGTTGAGTCTCTGACCTAAGTAAATCAATCCTTTCTTGTGGGTCCCTGGCAGTCATTTATACTTGGAGATAATAATCAAGTCAGGCCTGAGATCTGTCTAGGCTAAACAATTTCAATACCTGATTGAGAGCTAGAAATCCAAGTTTCTGCTTTCTACTCTGCCTCTAATAAGTGACATGCCTTTTGGAAAAACACAATCGATCCAGGTATTGAGTTTCTTCACCTACAAAATAAAGACACTGGCTGAGATGCTAATGGTCATTTAAGCACTATACCCCAATGTGTGTATCTACACTTATTTTTTTTTTAGTCCCACTTAGTACATACCCAGAATAATTCTTACTGTGACAGATGCTTAAGGGAGAAATGTAACAATGTGGAGAGAATGTAACTTCCAACACTCAAATTTAATATGGACATTATGACAGTGTAGAATAATACTTCAGCCTCAGACCGGATGGACTATCTTTAAAGACTTGAAGCTGGATGTCCCTGGTGGTACAGTGGGTAAGAATCTGCCTGCCAGTGCAGGGGATGCAGGTTTGATCTGATCCGGGAAGATTCCAAATGCCACGGAACGACTAGGCCCGTGGGCCACAACTCCTGAGAACACAGGCTGCAGTCCTGAAGCTGGGGCGCCTAGAGCCGCACTCCACAAGGGAGGCTCCACCGTGAGGAGACTGTGTACACAACCAACAGTAGCCCCCTCTCACTGCAACGAAGAGCCAGCACGGCCCAAAATAAACAAACAGCATATAAAAGACTTTCAACAAAGCATGAAAAGGTGACAAGTATTTAATTTTTCAAAAAAATATTAATTTTCCAAGCATCAATTCTGTTTATAATAGTCAGCAATTATTGTTGTATATTCCTTAACGCACTTGTTCTAAAGATACTACTAACTTAAGTGCAATACTTAGAAGAACAGCCATTTAATATACTTGTATTTCTTTGAAATATTTTCTAGTTCAAGTCATACCTTAGCTCAGACCCACCTCTGACTCATTAGTCCTAATTAGTGAGTTTTGATTTCAAAAGAGGGATATAAGTGAGCTCTGCAGATTCCTCAGTGTCATTAACGAGGCCCTGCAGAATTCTATGTAGACATCTAAAGCAGTAGATGAAAAATTCTAGACTGTAGAAGCAGCTCTATTTCTTCTAACTTTTTGGGTTACCACAATGGCTGGGCTTCCTTGGCTCTAAATAAATGTAATTAATGCAGAACCCAGGTGGTGCTAGAGGTAAAAAAAGTGAAAGTGAAGTCGCTCAGTCGTGTCCGACTCTGCGACCCCATGGACTGTAGCCCACCAGGCTCCTCAGTACATGGAATTTTCCAGGCAAGAGTACTAGAGTGGGTTGCCATTTCCTTCTCCAGGGGATCTTCCCAACCCAAGGATCAAACCTGGGTCTCCCGCATTGCAGACAGACGCTTTACCATCTGTGCCACCAGGGAAGCCCTTCTTTACAGTCGTAAAGAACCCGCCTGTCAATGCAAGAGACATAAGAGGTGCAGGTTCAACCCCTGGGTTGAGAAGACCGCCTGGAGGGCATAGCAACTCACTCCAGTATTCTAGCCTGGAGAATCCCATAGACAGAGGAGCCTGGTGGGCTACAGTCCAAGGGGTTGCAAAGACTCAGACACTACTGAGCACACACACAGAGGTACCCAGGAGGACAGATGTGAACAGACGTATTTAGTTACATATTATCTAGTGTTTTCAAAAGGTCAGTAATAATAAAAGAGCTCAAGTGTGAAAGAGTCATCATATCCTAAAGGGAAAGAAGGGGCCAAGTATACAGTGTCCATCCCTTAACTGTTGAGGGTAACCTGTCCAATTCTGTTTCATATTCCCCCACTCTCCTTTTAATTCCTTCTTTCTTCCTAAATCCACCTTCTGATTCACTTGCCCTTCTTCATGCTTTTCTCTATCCCATTCTGTAATGACAAGACTCCAGAGCTAATTCATCCTGCCATTTTTCAATAGTCACATGGCAGCCAAGTCCTAAAAGCAATTTTTTCCTGAAGTAGAATAGCAGGAAGTGAAAATATACACACCATCCATCACAAGACCTTTAAGTCTAAAGCGGTGGGCAGAGGTGGTGATGTTTCTGTTTTAGTCCACTAGGGACAAAGCTGAAAACACCATGCTGGGTGCCAAAGAGCTTTGAGAGGAAGTGGTCAAGGGCTAGGGCCCTGGCAAGGGTGTGGGTCTCGGCCCCACCACTAGCTAACACGGAGCCTTGGGCCATCTGACTGACTACTTTTGAGTCTCAGTTTTCTGAACCATCAGGTCACTGTGGAAGATAATTCATGTACTTAGCATAATATTAGTACACAGCACAAAAGTCATCAATAAATGTTACTGTGACTTCTCAGACAAAAAGCTGGGAATGGGTGGCATGGAACAGGTCAAAGGTAATATGAAGGGCAGAGGGATAAGCTTTCACTATGCCCAAACACATATGTGCAAGTGTGTTGTGTGCTAAGTCACTTCAGTCGTGTCTGACTCTTTGTGACCCCATGAACTATAGCCCGACAGGCTCCTCTGTCCATGGAATTCTCCAGGCAAGAATACTGGACTGGGTTGTTGTGCCATCCCCCAGGGGATCTTCCTGATCCAGGGATCGAACCTGTGTCTCTTATGTCTCCTGCACTGACAGTCAGGTTCTTTACCACTAGCGCCACCTGGGAAGCCTATGCAATGTTTAAGGACATTCTGATTTAATAGTGTGGAATTACTATCTGCAAGCAGCTGGACATGCCCATTTCCACAGAGTTAAGTATGAAGAAGGGCCAGGATTCAAACTCAGCCCAGGAGGTCAACAAAGGGACAATGATGAGGAAAATGAGCCAATGTAGTTCTGGGGAGGCCTTTATTTCTCCTATAGAGTAACTACAAATTAAATGTTTGTGGGGAGACCAAGCACAGCGGTCTAAATATTGGCCGAAGAAAATGATGGTGGGGGACTTCCCTGGTGGTCCAGTGGCTAAGACTCTGCTCTCCCAATGCAGGGGGTCTGGCTTCAATCCCTGGTCAGGGAACTAGATCCCACATCCTGCAACTAAGAATCTGAATGCTGCAATTAAGAGTTTGAATGTCAGAACTAAAGATCCCACATGCCACAACTAAAAATATCCTGCAGCTACAACGAAGATCAAAGATCCTGCATGCTGCAACTAAGACCAGGGCAGAAAATGAAAAATTAAGAAAAGAAAATGATGGTAATGGTTAACATCCATGGGGTGAACCAATCCCTGAAAGAACATTTAATTTCATGTTTCCATTTTAGTTACATCAGTGATTAATTTCAGGGATAAAGTTTAAATTGTGACTGAATATAGTTCCAGTTTTCACTTTTTAAAATTAACAACATATGAGAACATGAACTATTTTTCTCCCAATTTTGATAATAGAATAGTTCAAAAGTATAAGTTAATCTGATATTAAGCTCAATTATCAACATTTACCACCTTAAAACTCTCATATGATAATCAGTGGAGGTATGTGTATGAAAAGATGATTTTCTTAAGAGCCCAGCCCAGTAAAATTTTTTTTACTCTTTTACACTTTTATCTTTTAATCATGGAGAAAAAAGAATCAGATGATGAAACAGCAAAGTAACTCTTTTTTCATGCTAGCACCCTATTTATTTGCACATATTTTTCTGGCAAAAAAAACCCCACAATACTCCTCAGTTCTATTATCATCTAGTGCTTTTCCTCTGCATCCCCATCAGGCAATTAATCACACATAAAAATATCTGCACACTTAAGTATTTAAAAACTAAATGGTACATACCTGTTTAATATTCATAGACATACAGATTTTTTTCATGGGTATACATGTGTGTGTATTATGGACATCTAATCTACATTTACCTATATTTCATATAGGTACAACTGAAAAGCATGACGCTCTTTATTGATTTTACCAATTATCTTGCTTTATGCAACCTCTATCCAGGAAAGCTGCCTATTTCCAGCATAGAATAGTTGGTGATTTCTAATCTGTCTTAACTATATTAAAAAAAGTATCACAATGCGTATGTTTATGAAATCATCATTTAAAATATATCACAGTTTTGTCAACTGCACCTCAATAAAGCTGAGAAAAATATAAAGTGATTACAACTAAATTGTCAATTTAAGACTTATTAAAGTGGTAAACACCTTTGAAGGCAAAAGGCAGGTGTTATAATCTGCTTCTGCTGCTAAGTCACTTCAGTCGTGTCTGACTCTGTGTGACCCCATAGACGGCAGCCCACCAGGCTCCTCTGTCCACAGGATTCTCTAGGCAAAATACTGGAGTGGGTTGCCATTTCCTTCTCCATCATGCCTAATAAAATCTTACTTTGTGACTTTATTTCCCTTTTCCTATTAACACAATTGTCAGGTTGTGACAAAGTTTCCAGATCATAGATTTCAACTGCATTTTTAATAGACAGCTAGCTGGCATAAAGAAAATGAAGGATTCTTTTACAACTAGGAAATGAAATAAATAACTAATGGCTCCCATTAAGTAAAATAAGAAATTAGCGGCTTGGTCAAGAAATAAGCAACCTTCTCCAGCCATTGCCCCCCACACCTAATCACAGATGCAAACAGACTAAAAATAACCAAGTCCAAAATTCAAACAAAATCAATAAAATCCTGATTCTCTGAATGCCTGGAAATGAAGTGTTAGGATTTTCTGCTGTCCATTTTGACCTTCTTTGATCAAGATATTTATGAATGTTTTATGAATTATAATGTAATTTTCTGTGAAAACACACTTCTGGACATAACTAATGAATTATCATATAATGGATGTGGAAGAGATGACAAACACAATGAATTTTTTGACTTTCAGTTATAACTTAAAATTCTTTTGTTGAATAACCCTGATGTCAAACTGCTGTGTCATTTGCTTTTCTCTCTTACAAGCAATCAATCAAATACACCTGCAATTGCTTATGGTTCTGGTATCATCAGGGTTTTAATACACATTATTATCCTCGTGAGAAAGGTTGACAGTTTTAGCAGTTTAGTAAGAAATCTGCACTGAGAATAAGGTTTACTAAATTCTTTCAAATGCCTAAAAGCCTACAATGTCATATGTGAAAAAACTGTTTACAAATTTATAGATTTTCTGACATCTGAATAAATTACTAAAAATAGCATGACTATAGTTAATGTTTCTTTAAAATATTTCTTAAAATTCTAAGCATGTGTCTTCTTTATTAAAAATACAGCTTACAGATTATCTATGAATTTAAACGTATGAAAAATACCAGATAATTGAAGAGAACAAAGTAGGATCTTAGTTTTGTAAAAAAGAAAACATAGTAATCTATCCTCACACTGATTCTATGAAAACCTGTCCAGAACCTTCCTTGTTCCCCCTACTGCTGCCCAGGGGAAGTGGGTAGAAGCAGTGGAGGGTGTCGGGAGGAAAACCGAGGCAGCACAGTGCCGCCTTTTGGGGCTCTGATGGTCCACTATGGAAGCAGACTCATCCATGTGGCAGGTGCCAGACGCAGCATACCTTGTTTAAGAGCACCTTCTCCTGCTCGGATGAAAGAGATTTCATTGGAATCCACCATGTGATGTGCTCCATCTTGCAGAACAAACCGGAGCCCAGAGAGCTTGTGACCAGACAAAGGGCCCTTCTCGCAGGCATCCAAAAACCCCTGTTAATGAATAAGCTTCTTGAGTGTCTCTTCACTTGCAGGTGCATTAAGAAAAACCCTCAAACATTTTAGTATTCAGAAGTTTAACATTTTCATGTATATTTCATTTTTTTTTAAAATTTCTTTAAAATTGAACAGCCTATTTAAGCTTTATTATTGTGGAATGTAGATAAGCAATCCTTTGGAACAGTCTATTACTTAAAGGTATGAAATGGTTTGAAAACAATGCTGAGTATTAGCAATCCCTTTCTCATAACCTAATATTGAAGAATTACTAAACTCTTGTGATACATTATAGAGTCAGTATGATCCTAATTTTACAAGGCATAAACAGAGGAAAGGCAAATCTAAGAAATTCCCTAAGTAAAACTTTAATCAAAACTGACATCTTATCAACAGCTGTGTCTTAAGCTCTGACTCACTGGCAGACCACTACATAATAATTTTTGTGCTACACAATGTAAGAACTAAAATTAAAACATTTTTCCAAAGCAATTCTTTTAAGACACAGCTTTACTGAGATATAACTGATAAACAATAAGCTATAAATATTTAAAGAGTGCAATCTGATATGTGTGCAGTTCTTTTTCATTCATTAAATACTTGCAGAGTTGCTACGGTTCAAGTCAGTTTACACAGTCGCACATGTAGTACAATACATTCCTGACATTTCAAAACTGCTACCTCTGAATGCTGTAGAATGTCTAAGCTTTCCTTTGCCTATGCTAATCTTGGAGAATAAAAGATAATTTAAATTTGTGTGAATGACACATTCATTTGTGAGAATGACAAAATACTGTTTTGAAATTAAGTATAATGGATGAAATACACTAATCACAAAAACTGCTACCAAAATTAATGCTAAAACCAAAATCATGATCTGTTAATAAAGACTTCTAAGTTAAAAGTTAAAAGATTTTAAAAAAATAACCTCCATCTTTATGAATAGACAGTTGCTAAAGGTTTACAACAGTCTTAAAACCAATGATGTAGAAAGCTACCAAAACACAAATAACCCCTTACATGTGCAAAGCACCTCACAATTCCCAAAAAAATGTCAGAGTCTTATCCAATCTTTGATTTTGTGAGGGGTTCAGGATTAAGTACTGTATGCTCAATTTACAAAAGAAAGTGGCTCTGAACACTGTGATTTACCCAAGGACATATTAATCATTAGCAGAGATGACAACACACGCAGGTGTTGGAAATCTTAATGCATGACCATTCTACTACAGGGGTATTACATGTGAAACTTTCACAAACTCCTAACGACTACTACAAATTTCAATTACTAATTATAATCAATCAAGTAGTTTCAATTTATTGAGAAATGTAATAACTATGATTCAGAAACAGAATGATTTCCTCTCATTGTCATAGCTTATATTTATAGCTCTTGAACTTAATGATTCTAAACCAGATGGAGAGCTTAATCAGATAAAGAAGCAGGACTGGAACAAAACTGAACCACAGAAGCCATGATAGCAATATGATTTGATATCTACTACACCGTTTTTTTTTTTTTTAATGCAATAAAGGCTTTTTTTGTTTGTTTGTTTTTACCTTTTCCACAGCAGGCACAAACTGCTTTGGTACATTTGACCCAAATGTTTCATCTGAAAACTCCAACTTCGTGTAGTTCTCTGGGTCCAGAGGCTCCAGTACACCTATCACTTTTCCATACTGGCCCGCCCCACCTGATTGTTTTTTATGTGTAAACTCAAACCTGAAAGTAATATGAGAAGAAAAAAAAAATCAACATAATATAATTACCAAAATGAAATAAACTACTAACTGAAATGAAAAACCACCTCTCATCAATTTTACTTCTTCCTTCAAATAGGATGGCCTTGCTATAAAATTTTATTATAGAATTTATTTAAAAAGGAATTTGCTCCTTTCTGTTCTTATTTAGAGGTGGGGTACACCATCAAATAATCCATGGTTTTAATTCTGCTAATTTATCTGAATTTCACAAGTAGAAAGTAAAAGTGTTAAAACAAAAAGTCAGTGGAAGGTTCTTATTCTAACCTACATTCCAAGAAGCTTACCCATTTTCTTGTGGAAACAGGGTTCTACTTCCCTGGGACACAGAGTTCTGTCCTGAATCTCTCTGAGGACAGTTATCTGAAATTAGGAGTTATGCAAGTAATTCATTCAGATAGTTATTTGATTTTACAACTTGGACACTAAGGACTAAGGAAATACAAAAAGGGGAGCTTCTGGAAGGATACTAACACCTGAAAATGATTAATGGCAAAATAATCACAATTAACATAAGTCCTCCAAATAGACACATATATAGACACAGGTTAGTGTTTACCTCAAATTATTAAAGACAACATTAATAAGATGCCATGAGCATCTTGCATGCATATTAAATATATGTAAATATAGGCTACTATATCACTTAAAAAACATTTCATGAGTTTCTACTGTTTGCAAGGCATTTTTCCTTTAAACTGCAACCTTCCTCAAGACCATAAGATTGAAGAAGCTGGCTGCTTTCAAAGTTGTCTGCAGATAACTGCAGGTAAGTGGACATTAACGAACATCTGTTCCTGCATAGAGATCTGTGAATGGTTTGGCAGAAGTAAATAGCAATTTCAGTAGGAGATGTCAGCTTGGAATGAGTTTTCATAGACAACCTAAGTGTGAATATGCCTGATGAATTGCCTTTAAATAATGTTGCAGTTGCCAAGTTTCAGGATGGGCTGGCGAAAACAATGCTGAAAGGTAAACAGATATCAGAACTAAAAGGACAGCAGAAGAGAAATAACTGCCAAATCACCACAGAATTACTAAGAGATTCCAAAATGGGCCCACTGACGTGTTCTCAGGTATGCTCAAGTTCTCCAAGACAATGTAAATTTTGTTTTCAATTTAACAATAATATCCATACAACGTCTAGATCTGTGCTGTTTATACGGTAATCACTAACCATGGATATTTAATTGAAGTTAATTAAAATTAAATAAAATTTAAAATTCAGTTCCTTAGTTGCACCAGTCACATTGCAAACGATCAATAGGCAAGTGTGGAGAGTGGCTACTGTCCGGGAAAGCACAGCCCTGGAGGACCAACTTACAAACGAGTTATCCATACAGTCTCAGGGATCCTGGCTGAGTTTATAACTGAGTGGACGCCAAATAAGAGGATGCAAGTGCCAGGTTTGTGCTAAGCACTTTTTATGGACTGTAGTACTTATTCTTCACCACACACCCATGAAGTAGGCACTATTTTTTTTTATCATTACTTTACAGGTGAGAAACCTGAGGGTCAGAGAAGCTAAGTAACTTGTCAAATGTGATGCAACTCTTAAGTGGCAGAGCCAGAATTTTCACCAAGACCAAAAATCAAACATGTTTCTAGAAGGATAGTAGGAATGTAAATGGATTTAACCTGCACATGATGCATTCAACTCGAAAGCCTTATAAAGACGCTGCACAAAGAGATTTTCCTGGAGCTTAGAGAAGCAGAAAAACTAAGACACCACTTGGTAGGCAGTGAATAGACATGCTGACGGTAAAAGAATCCATGCTCTTGTGGTCAGACCACTGGCATTCTGTGAAAGAGTTTCATTTTGGCAAAAAAACATCATCTCTCACATACAAGTTAATGTTAAAAAAAAAAATGTTAATTAGAATTGTGTTGGTTTTACTGTATATCTTATTTTGTAGATTTATTTTGGCTTTATAGTCTTACCAAAGTTGCAAGTCATAGGTGTTTTTACTTATTTCCATATAGTTATTTAAAACAATAATTTGCACGATCCCAGACACTTGTAATAATTTTGCTACTTTCAAGGTAACTCATACATTATTCAACTTTGAGGATAATGATCTCTTGATTAACCATTAATGAAATTTTATCGAGAAACTAAGATCTATTGCAAGGACTCCACAGGGATAAGATTCTCTTAAAGCGGTTTATTTAACATCTACACAGGCAGCTTGAAGTTTTTAACATGTGCTTCCCGGGGGGCTCAGTCTGCAGTGTGGGAGACCTGGGTTTGAACCCTGAGTAGGGAAGATCCCCTGAAGAAAGAAACAGCTACCCACTCCAGTATTCTTGCCTGGAGAATTCCATAGACAGAGGAGCTTGGCAGTTTACAGTCCATGGGGTTGCAAAGAGTCAGACATGACTGAGCAATAATATAATAATTTTATTTTTAAAAGAACCTAAATGGGTATGTGTGTTTTTAGCAAATAAACACCTGATATTGTCTGTCACCCAGCACCTCTTATTACTAGCCTTGTTCTACAGAGATGGTAATTACATTCTTAAAGCTTCAAACTGGTGACTTTGGGGGTCTCAAATATTGGGGGTCTCAAATACTGTACTTCTCACAACTCTAACTGGTAATACAGGAGATGTTAACTAGCTGCATGTGAAACTTTAAAATTTCATTTTCAGCAAAAAGATCTATGTAATTAGAATGTATTTGACCACTCGTTCCTGGGCACTATCAAAGGAGCACATAATTCACAAAACTATTAAGAACACACACAAACAACAACCTAACAGGCTGACTGTTAGATGAATGAGTCACTGGCCCCTCCATCAAAAGAAAAAAAACAGCTTTCAATTTTTCAGAAAAAGCCTTAGATTTTTTTAAGAAAAGTAAGTAAGGCATTCCCATCTTTCTAGGTTATATTAGCCAGCACCTGTCAAATAACCACTTTTCTTAAAAAATCTATTTACTCCGACTTTATTAATAAATAAATTTTAAAGGATATTTGAAGAAGACAACACATTACAAATACATTTTTAACTTTTTTTTTTTTTTTAAGCAACACAACATATATATCTACTCAAAGAACCTTCAAAATCCACTTTGGGAAAAATACCTAAGAATATTTCTAAGACAACAAACTACAGTGTCAGTTTGGTTACATATCTGAAGAAAACGAATCTTAGCTGCCAATTCGACAGCATTTCTTAAGAACAGCCTAGACTAGTGCCTTTAAAAGTGACAGAGGTAATTAAGAGATCTGGAAAGTAAAAACTCACTGACTACTCAAAGTTTGTGCTTGCTTAAGGAGCTTTTAAAAACTTTTTGTCAGAAGCTACTTAAATGTAGTGCCTTGTATAAACTCAGTTTTAAACTACGTTTTAATCTTCTTTCAAAGTGATCCAGAAAGTTGGAAGCATGGTGTGATCAAAATCTTTTCCAAGATTAGCAGAGGAAGAGAGGGGTCCAAGTACCTTGTAAAATCCCCCTGCCCTAAATCCTCCAAATTAATGCTATTATTTGCAGTCTTGAACCGGTCCAACATCACAGAAAGCTGGGGATGAGCAAGTTTGCTCGTGGAAAGTAGAGGGAAAAGGAGGAAACGCAACGACTCACTACCGGGAGCTCCTCTGGACTTTGCCCCGAGCCTGACACCGCGGGTGGTGGATAAGGAAGTTGCTCCATTCTGCAAGTGAAGCAACCAGACTTTTCACGGAGGGGAAACTCGAAGCCCCAGAGGAGATGCTGCAGTGAGGAAAAAGCCAGAACGCCCGTCCCGCGCCTCTGTTCAGGTTAACAACAGGAAGGCTGTGGTCCCGGGCACCCCCCCCATCCCTCCCCACCCCCACTTAGAGGAGGAGGGGGCGCTCGGTGCAGGAACCGGAGAGGAATTGCAGGCGGCAGCAGGGCGGGGCTCCACAAGGGGCCCCGGCAGGAGCCAGCTCCCAGGCAGCTGCAGTCAGAATCGGAAGGAGAGAAGGAGAGAGAGCGGGAAGGAGTCGGTGACCCCGCCCCAGCCCACGCCCAGCCTCCAGGCGGCGTTAGGACTTTTCCGGCTGGGCTGCCCGGCAGCAGGCAGGACGGGGACGCGGACGCTCGCAAACCCAGCCAACACTCCGCAAGAATGGAAATCCCTCCGACCCACTACCCGGCCGCCAGGGCGGCCTCGGTGGTCGAGAGCTGCATCAACTACCAGCAGGGGACCCCGCACAAGGTGTTTCTGGTGCAGACAGTCACACAAGCCAGCCTGGAGGTGAGTCGGGCAGAGGGCGGCGGGGCACGGCCAGCGTCCCTCCATCCCCTCTGCTCCCGGCTCGTCCGCTCCCAGCTCCCCGGACACCATGCCTGCTTCGGGTCTCACTGCTGTCTCTCTAGAGCAGCTGGTATTTCTGGCTTTTCTCTAGTCTCTGGGGGCAGCCCCGGGGCTGTTTGTTGTTTTCACAGGGACACACACACACTGATAGTTTTTATGCGCACTATTATAAGGAAATGGATAAATGTTCTCAGTTTGGGGCGGCTTCTCCCTTTCCCCAAGTGAAACCTATAGGAACCATTTTCAAAAGTTTCTTAAAACGGGTACCATGTTTCTCATCTGCTGCTCCAATCTGGTCTTGCGTAACATTCTTCACTGCCTGTATCTTAAGACCAGTCGTTCATTTGACCAAAACGAAGGGTAAACAAACGAACAAACAAAACCAGAAGCTGACAAAACTGAAGTCAGAGTGAAGGAATTGTGGGCTGAACCACCCAAACACTACCGCGCTGACTGCAGAGTGATGGGCGCTCTCCGGCTAACGGGGTAAATTAAGTGCTATGCTTAAGACCTTAGCAATCACTAAGATTGTTTCCATTTTACTGACACCTAACGGATCTGACAGAAGTTTCACTGCTAAGTCTGTTAAGAGCTGACAGGGAGTGCATATTTCAAAACCACACTAGGTAACATAATTAGGTATAAACTTTCAATTGTATCACTTGATTCAAAAGTGAAGTATCTAAATGTTTGTCTTACTGTTATAAAATTTATTAAAGTCTCATTCTGCAGGTCCACTAATACATAAGTAAAAGCAGTACTTAACATCTCTAACCACTTTGCAGTAATCTCAAAATGGAATTCTGTTTGGAGGCTTTATGAAAAATCTTTTCAGTGGGTATCCTATTTGTCATCTTTAGAATTAAAAATGTTAAATTTTCTTATGTGGAACTTAGGGTCACAGATCCAGATATCAAAGTTCTCTGATGATTGAAAGTGAATTATAACCGAATATACATGGTTTTATCCCACTCCTTTGTTCTCATCCAAAATAACCCTGCTTAGAGGACCTACTAAATCAGCCGTCACACACAGTGACATGCTCTGCTCAAGGTCTAAGGCTTTAGTCGTTTACCTCCAACAGTCAGCCTCCCCGGCCCCATCCAAAGAGCATGGATTCCCCTAACCATATAAAGACTTTATTTGTTGTTATGATAACACATTTTCTTAATTTTAGGATATTCCAGGAAGAGGACATAAGTATCGCCTTAAATTTTCTGTGGAAGAAATTATCCAAAAAGTAAGTGAAATATCCTTTATTATGAAATAAAATTTGATTCCTAACATTCCAGGTCACCTCTGCTAATTAAATCATGATTGATTTGGTTTTTTGGGGTTTGTTTTTTTTTTTTGAGAAAAAGTTGTGAAATTCCTGCCTCAAAAAAAATGATCACCATACAAGGGTTAGTTTTTACTTTTTGTGTATTCTGAGATACACTTAGTATTTCTATTGTGCTATTTAGAAAAGAGGCTCTAGATACTTCACTACAAATAAATTTCCTTTAAAAATGTTATATATGCATGGGTCAGTGTGAATTTATGCCTAATATGAAGAAGTGAAATAATTAACTCTAATCATCATTAGGTGTTTTTTATTTGTCTCATTCTGTTTCTTTTATTTAAAGAAAGCAAGTGCTTTTAGTTATCTACGAGCAACAGAGTGGCCAACTGATACCACTGTGTTCCGATTAGAATCCTTCAGTAATGGGGCAGGGCCAGTTTTAAAAATTATACACCTCTCAAATTATTAACGAGATAAACTTAAGAGGAAGGAACTGCCAGTTGTACTGTAACCATCTTGAAATTTTAAAAAACTTGCCCATTTGTTAAGCATAACTAAGAGATACAGGCTAACAGAGAGAGATTCACTAAAAGGCATCTGAGCTGCTAGACGAATATTCATCTAAAGCAGAACCAATGCTACAATCTTCTCATTTTACATCTGGATACAGACTGAAATGAATCTGAGTTTGAGAAAATTTCTGTTATTTCAGGAGGAGAGAAGAATAGAAAGACTTAATAAAGTCAGACTAAAATCTGCCTTAGAGATGGACTTCTCATTACTACTGAAATACATTCAAAGTTTTCAACGAATTTACAAGATTATGAGACTTTATATGTTATAAACTAAGTTACTTATTTTTAGCTACCTCTAAGAAAATCGACTTCCCTAGTGGTGCAGACGGTTAAGCATCTGCCTACAATGCGTGAAACCTGGGTTCGATCCCTGGGTCGGGAAGATCCCCTGCAGAAGGAAATGGCAACCCACTCCAATATTCTTGCTTGGAAAATCCCATGGACGGAGGAGCCTGGTAGGCTACAGTCCACAGGGTCGCAGAGTCGGACATGACTGAGCAACTTCACTTCAAGAAAATTACTGGGCCACCATGAATTAGATACCTCTGAAATAGGCACATTGAAGTCCAGTCTGAAGTAATACCATAAGGGGGACAATGCTTTAAAGGTTCTATCTCAAAGAATAATAATTAGTAATGGATGTCCATTTACATGTAAAGATCTTTTGCAAAATGTTTCAAACAGGAAGTTACAGTGAACTGCACAGCTGAAGTACTGTACCCTCTAATGGGACAAGATACTGCACCAGAAGTCAACTTCACATTTGAAGGAGAAATTGGAAAAAACCCAGATGAAGAAGATAACACATTTTATCAAAGACTCAAGTCCATGAAGGAACCACTAGAAGCACAAAATATTCCAGGTATGTAAATATATAGCAGAGGAAAATATTTTTTCAATTTTAAAAACAGTATCAATTTACCTATGCTCAAAAATGTTAAGATGTTTACATTATGCTGCAAATAAACTGACTTTCACAAAAATATTCATTACTAATCTAACAACAGTAAAGGTCTTAGGACTTGATAGACATAGCTTAATTAAATTACTTTCTGCACACATTTGAAGAAAACTAAGAAATGACTTAGAATTTACATTTAAAAGGTTAATACTCTCTATGTAAAATAATTCCATTTATCATATAAATATTTCCTTCACCAGACAGTTTTGGAAATGTACCTCCAGAAATGAAGCCAGTTCGACATTTAGCCTGGGTTGCCAGTGGTTATATAATATGGCAAAATTCTACTGAAAATACATGGTATAAAATGGCAAAAATTCAAACTGTCAAGCAAGTGGTAAGTAATTTCTATAAAACATAGTCTAAATAGGTTCAGTATTTACAAAAGGTGTCATAATTCATGACGGATAAATAGTGCCCCTTCAGTCATTTTGTATTTACAGTAGTGAACTCAGTATTTGAAGGAGAGGTCAGTTATCAAGGCTGGAGAAGGTGAAGCTGCAATTTCAAGAGTGAAGTCTCCAGTTATAATTTGGCAATGGTTTTTGTGTGCATTGTAATACAGATCATTTCCTTTGGCAACCTAAGCTTTGTGTTCTGATTACTATAATCATATGATACTGAAACTACCTCTGCTTTTTTCCTCTCCTCAAATGTTAGTGCCAGAGCTAGATATAGGGTTGACATTTTCCCCACCTGGATTCGCCAAAATAAAATATTAGCATCTCAGTCTCCGCAAACTGTCTTTGATAACCCGTTCAGGCATAACTGACCGCCTCCTGTCTTGTTTGTTGCTAGCATGTACTTTAAGTCTGATAGAACTACTCCAAATTGCCTCTTTCTAGACCTTAAAGAGATTAAAACAAATTTTTTGAATTTAGCTTTATTAAGAGGTTTAAAAGAAAAAAAATACTAGTCAACTAGTAGTATTTAATGGAATGCAAGGAAAAGATTCTCTAAGAGAAAAGCACTTTCCATTGGCTTTTCTCAGTTCGTTGATAACAAACTGCAAGAAAGCTGGAGCACCTTTACTCCACTAACTTTTGCAACTACTTATATTAGATACCTTTGGGCTAGATCACAGATAAGTAACCTTCCTGATCTTCACCTTATCCTTAAAGGACTTTCTTTGTCGATATAGTCAAAGAAAGGATTGTTTCAAGAGACTATAAAGAGAGAATAGTCTTATTCAATCCTGCGGCCACTTTATTACTGTTAACCAAAGGAGCCACAGGATTTTTCAGTGCTTCATTATAAGCGTTTAAGAGCCTTGTTTAAGCACAGCAAATTTCTGATAATCAAGGTTTGAAACTATGTAGATATGATATTTCTGTGTAGTTGATGGAATACTTTACATGCCCAAAGCAGTAAGCAGCATAGATCAAACCTTTAGTTACAAAATCAAACATTTTATTATTTTCAGTTTTTTAAAAGAGAATTTCTATTATAAAATTGGTTTTCTTTAGTATAAACACTCATTTCAGCTGTTTATCCCCTAAACAATGCTTTTTTGAGCAATGGAAACATTAAAGAATCTTAATGACAAATTATAGACTGTAATGTTCTAAAATGTTCAAATTATAGACTATAATGTTATAAGTTCCACAACTCTCAATTTGTAATTTTTTTGGCGTGCTGTGTGCCACATAGAATCTTAGTTCCCCGACCAGGGATTGAACCCATGCCCCCTGCAGTGTATGTGTGGAGTCCTAACTACTGGGCTGCCAGGGAATTCCATAACATTCAGTTTTTAATTTTACTTAAGTATTATCATCATCTACTACTGAAAACTGATTTTTGAAATTAAAATATACTTTTTGCCAATGATACTAAGTTTTAAATGCCAGGTTTTTATTTTTTATTATAGCAAAGAAATGATGACTTCATCGAGTTAGACTACACTATTCTCCTTCATGACATTGCATCTCAGGTACAGTATTATTTACCATTATTTAATGTCACTTTGGAAATTGAGACTCACTTGGTAGCCTCAGTGTATGCCTTGTTAATTTTGATTCTAAATCAGAATTCATGTATATTCAAATAGGCACCAGGTTGAAGTATATTACCACTTGTAGCAATTTAACTTGTCTTGTGCTATCTTTATGAGGACTGTTTTGTTTCCAACAGAATATAAATCCAACTGTTTTCCTAAATGTTTTTATTAATTTTATCACAGCATTAGTTTCTTTTACTTGCAGGAGATTATTCCTTGGCAAATGCAAGTTCTCTGGCATCCACAATATGGTACTAAAGTAAAACATAATAGCCGTCTGCCAAAGGAAGCTCAATTGGAATAAACAAGGACCATAACACTGGATAAAGTGTAAACATGCTTATTAATGATGACCTGTATACCAGTCTTCACTGATATCTAGCTTAAGGGGTTAGACAAATCCCAAAAGTGTCATTATGTATAAACGGCCTGATTACAGTACAGAACTATATAACTTCCATAATAAAGAGCATCACAGTGTGAAAGTGTCTTATCAACAGTAACAGTGCCATGTATACCCCTAATAAAAGCTTTTAATTCCAGCCTCATAGCTTGTTTCATCATGTTGGATACTTACGGAACAGGGGCTGTAATGGTCTCTCTGAAAGCAACTTTTGGCTTTCCTGTGATACAAGGACAGCCATATTCTCTTTCCATTCGCTAAAAAGAATGAGAGAGATCTTTTTGGATATATTTAAATTAAAAAATAATAAACTAAAACAAGAAGAATCCTAAGAGTCTTAATTACCTTAAAAGCATTCATTTAAAAGTGCGAGTGTTAGTCACTCAGTTATGTCTGACTCTGTGACTCCACGGACTATAGCCCACCAGGCCCCTCCCTCCATGGGATTCTCCAGGCAAGAAAAGTGGAGTGGGTTGCCATTCCCTTCTTCAGGGAATTTTCCCAACCCAGGGATCAAACCTGGGGGTTTCCTGCATTGCAGGCAGATGCTTTACCATCTAAGCCACCAGGGACGGTTATGATGAGCAATAATAAATCTAGAATCACTTAAGTACCTTATGAGGATAAATACATTACAAACTTTTACAGATTTTATATAAACAAATTCTAATTTAGACTGATTAACTTACACTTACCTCCAGTTAATCTACTAAAACTTTACCTTTGCTCCATTTTATTACATGTTCATTGGAATGTTATATGGATCTATTGCCATAATTTTCTACTACCTCAACTTCAGAGATAAAATCAGAGCCAGAATTTTTAATCATAAGTCAGATATATTAAAAAAATAAGTCATATATATTTTGATTTCATTTATATACACATAAGACCTTTCCTAGGAAAGTAGGGTCTCCATCTACCCCTTTGTTTAACTACATTATATTGATCTTCAAGTACTGACTTGAGATGAAAACAGGTAAGAACTGGCCTGGAGAGTGAGTAGTGGTGGGCTGACTTTCTCAGCAGGTTTCCCCCTGAGGCTGAGACCTTAGGGATATACCTGACCAAAAGAACCATGACCCACCTACGGATGGATGGTCTGACTGCAATGTTTTACAAATAAGAAGGTTTAGAGATCAAAAGTAATTAATTAGTAACAGATAGTAGAAGATGCAGTATACCACATCTGGATAAAAAACCAGAGTGAAGACTGAAGAAAGAACCACTATTAGTTTATGACCATTAGACTGAGAATTCTTGACTTTTACGCTCTTAAAACACAGACATAAAGGAAGTGAATTTAACGTCCTTGCTGTTCACTACCTGAGCGTAGATCTCCAGGTGTAACTCTCCCATTCCAGATACGATTGTCTCCTTGCTCTCAGGGTCAAAGTGGACTTTAAATGTGGGATCTTCTCTTGTAAACCTGCCAATACCTTTTGAAAATTTTTCCAGATCATTCTTAAAAAGAAAACAAAAAACATTACACATTGTACTAAGCATGATAAGCAATGAAACTGTTAAAACAATTTGATTGGATGAAATCAAATACATGTGCAGTTAAATAAAAATAATCTACCATTTAAGTTCTAAATGCTATTTTAATATATGAGCTTGGATACCACACAAGAGAGCAAGGAACAGCTAACTTACAGAATTTTCTTTTCACACCAAGATTCAAGAGTCTAAGACTTACCTCTATGCCCTTTCCTATTGACAAAATCTCTCCATTTGTGGAAAACTCCCCATAAAACAGAAAGTAGAGTGTTACAGTTTAGAAATCCTAAACCAAAGGATTCGTTGAGGCTGTAATCAACTGTAACTGTGTTACAGTTTAGAAATCCTAAATCAAATCAGCATGGTCACCAAGACTACTGTAGGTTCGAGAGATCAGTTAAGACCAGCGAATGCACAGTGAGATGTCTCCGTTTCCAAATAATCTACCTGGATGTAGTTCGATGTACCTCTATCCTCCTTAGATGTTAATTCCTTATGTGGTAAGCAGAATGATGTTCTTCTTAAAGGACATGCCCCATTCCCCCCAAATCTGTGACTGTTACCTTACCTGATAAAAGGGACTCTGTGGATGTGATTAAGGTTACAGACTCTTCATGTGGGGAGATTATCATGAATAATCTGGACAGGTCCAGTGTAATTGCATGAGACTTTAAAAATGGAAAGGAATGAAGAAGGGCAGTTGAGAGATGAAAAGCGGGAAATAACAGACGGGAAATGTCTGAAGCATGAGAGGGACTCACTGCACTGTTGCTGGCACTGAAGACAGGAGAAAGCGGGCTACGAGCGCCTCTAGAAGCTAGGAATGCCCTCAGGTAACAGCACGGAAATCTCAAGTCCCACAACAAGGAGCTGAATTCTGCCAACAATCTAAGCAAGCAAGGAACCAAACTGTCTCCCAGAGCCTCCAAGAAAGGAACACAATCTTGCCAATACAATACTTGATTTTATCCCATTAACAACTGTGAATTGTGACCCATAACTGTAAAACAATACATTTGTACTGTTTTTAAGCCACTAAGTTTTTGCTAATTTCTTATGGCAGCAATAGAAAATTAACATGCCCTGAATCACCAGTGTTAACAGCCAAATATGTGGTTAAAGAGGTGTTAATGTGTTTTGTTTATGTTATCTGAAATTCTAACCACAAGGCTGCAAGGTAGAATTATCCCCATTTTACAGGTGGGGAAGCTAGGTACAGAGAAGTCAAGTGACTTGCTCAAGGCCACAAAGCTAACTAGGAATGAATCTTAAGTTAGTCTATCTCCAAAGTCTTTCCCCTTTTCCCTGCATTGGCCAGGGACTCAACTTACAAGCTGCCCCACTACTGAGATTCATGGTTTTATGCAGGGTTTCATTATTTGATTTGTACTAACTCCAGCAAGCAGACAACCCTGAGACACCAAAAAGCTTTATGAATATTGATCCATTTGATTTCCATCCATTATTGTGAACTATCAACAGTAAAACGTCTACATAAACTCTGAATTTAGGAATAAAGAATAATATTTTTAACTTCTAGTCCTTTGTCTTCCGAAGGGAAAAGCAACCTATTTGGCAAAGAACCTTGAGCAAACTGGCGTTATCACTCTGGTGAGATGTAAGGTTCAGCTTGCTTCAAATTTCTGAGATGGAGTGACTGAATGTTTCTTGCCACCTCAACATTCTCTTTTCTGTAATTTGAGAAGGAAAATCTCAAGTTCCTCAAAACAGATGAAGCAGTAGCCGTTAATATACCCGTAAGACAATAAATCAGAACATGTTCTATAATGATAGTACCTAGATGACAAGAGATCATACAATGTTCACTCAATGCATAAAATAATTAATTTCAATACAGCACATTAACCTGACAGTTATGAATATAACTAACTTAAGAATTAAACAATTATGGTTCAAGATCAGGACTAATTTCAGTGACAAGTTATGCAAATACAGAACCTATTCAAGCAATTTTGGCTAAAAAGCTAAATGACATGAAATACAATCATAAAACTGTTATATCTGAAAGTAAGTCAAAACAGTCTTATTTGCAGGCATTCCATGTTATAATCAGACATTTACTGAATAACTACCACAGATGTGGAGATGTACTATAATCCATGAGGCAATTTAATTGATGCAATATTCTAATGTTCTTTACAGTGAGGTTTTTCTGCAGTTGAGGACAAATGCCCCAGTTTCCTCTTTTCTATCTCTTATGATCTCCATCTAGGAAGTTACTTACACTTACCATTCTGGAGCCAATGATATACCTTCACTACAGTAAGAGTTATAAAGCACAGTCTGATGAATACGTTAAAACCATCAACCTCTTCAAATATTCTGAGGAGTACTTACTAGTAATAGACTGGTAAATTTTAAAAGATGATTTGAATACCAGAAAAGGAAACAGAGTCCATAAGAGCGCTTATGGTCATCACAAGACACCATATGCGTTGTGGAGACAGGTGAAAGGGAGCTCAAAGTTTTACTGTGATTTACTAAGTGCTAAATCAAACTCCTACCTTGTTGGACGGCTTCATTGCTATTGAAATGACAGGATCGGGGACATGAATTGACTCCTAGAACAGTTTTAAAAGAACAGACAAGAATTCAAACACAGTACTGTATATGTCAGAGATGGATTAATTTTAATGTTCTTTACAAGCAGAAGAAAACACTATAGTCAACATCTTTAAGGCAGACAAAATATATCTTGCTCTACTTTTCATTAAATGATGAATATATTAATATATAAATAAAGGTTATACTTCAATCATTGATAAGAAAAGCAGAGAAAGGGACAAGATTCTTCATACATACAATATCTCATTTAACCAGTCAGGTTAAATGAGAGGCAGATGGATTTTATTATACCCATTTTACAAATAAAATAATTAAAGGGTTGGCAAGATTAATGAATAACTTGGTCAAGGGCCAGCAGTAGCGCAGGGCATAAGTAAGGCTCTGACCAAGGTCTATTTGCTTCAACGCTCGAGCACTTCCCACAGCCTCCAGTCCCTTCATACTGCTCATGACAAGTTTAGAGACAGTCTCATCAATATTAAAAAGTCCACTTATTGAAACTGATTTTTTTGTAGTGTCCTAACTCCACATGTAAAACCACAGACATCAGAGAATACTTTAAACAAAAAAGCTAAATTATAAGATTAAGAATTCATCATATGATATAGGAGCTACTACAGAGATCACCTGTTAGGGCTGGACAAGTTCTTATATATAAACAATCTACTGTAAGCGCCTATCCCCTCTGTACTCATATTCCTCCTTTACTGAATTCAGGAGAGGAAGCCCCCTCGGGAGCACATGGTCATACTGTAGAAGAGCCGCCCTCCTGTGGGGGCAAAAAGGGGGCTGGAGTGAAGGGGACTGACAGGCAGGAAGTGCCCTGAGCATACCCTGCTAGTTGCATCCTGCCTGCAAAGCACAGTTCTGGTCTGTCATGCAATTCCCCGGAGTCCAGCCTAAACGTTACCGTCTGCTCTGATGGTTCTCTAGGAGACTGAGGGAGGCATCCGCTCTCCAGCTGCCGAGTTACTAAGGAAGGAGCACTTGGCTGGGACCAGCCTGTTGATGGTGACAGCAATTAGGGACGCGCCCACAATAGGGAGGCAGGTCTCAGGCTGGAGGAGTCACAGCTATACAGGCCAGGTTACCAGTGGGGATTTTCCCTCCATGCTCAACCTTGGAGGATGGTGGAATGATTTCACTAAGAAAAATCAGGTAAGTCAGCTAACAGGACACTTGTTCAGCTGACATTAAAAGAGCCACAACCAATCTACACTTGATGCCTGTGGCACTCAATGAAAACTTCTGTGATTGTTTTTCTGAAGTACTAGAACATACATTTTTGAAATGCAAGTGATAAACAGCTTTGAAGTTAAATGACTTACCATAGAAAGGCCGCTATTATCTTTGTCTGTGAATGTGTCTCCACTGGCACAGTCAATGCCAAACAATGCACAGATGTCTCCAGCAAACACTTCCTCAACATCCTGAAGAAAGGAAGAATACAAAATGATACTTGCAAGTAATTCACATCTGCACATAATCACTAAAAAGTAACTGCACGATAAACATACTGTGCACAAACATGCCAGAGTCTCACCATGAATTCCACAAAGAAAGAATTAGATAGAATCAACGCAATACCAACAATCAACCATGGCAAGATACACCTTCAACAAGCTCTTATTTAAACCACATGTCAACTGGCAAGATTCTACTGTAAATGGAAACTCAGAACATGGCATCTTTACTTGGGGGGTCTGCAGTACCAACAGAACACAGAGCCTCATAGTTCTAAAGTAATTCCTATAGCATTAAAAAGTATGTAGTGCTATATGTGCTGCCATTGTCTAACAAGGAAATGTCTATGACCAAGGCATACAAGGAAAGCTTGCAAAGGAAGTTTTGAAAACAAAGGCAGGAGATGTAAGCAGTTAAGAAAACACAGGAAATCTAAGAATAAAGCACTGGGGCCTCTAAACTTCCTAGTCTTTGTCCTTTTATATTAACAGTTCATTCATAACAGCTGTGGCTGTGAATAAGCAAGTGTGCATGTCTTGCTTTAATAGTTACACAGCTATAGGGATCCTTCTGGCCCATGAAACAGCTCTGACAATCACTAATCCCTCTAGCCTGCCCCCTGCTGCCTATTTCAAAAATCAGTGATGTCTAATTTTGAAAGACTGTCTATTCATTTTCCAGGAGATACAACAGTTATGGACGCCAAAAATGTCCGCCCTAAGATTTTGCTTAGACTAATAAATTTCTCTAGGAATAACTGAGCTGAATTGGGAAAGGGTGCAAGGAGGGGACAACCTCCTGTACTTGGTCTTCCTGCCAACGCTTCACCCTGCGGACCACAGAAGGCCAGAACAGGTTCAGAGCCAATTCAAGAAGTCAAATCATAAGCCAGAGTTTATCTCCCAGACTAGGCCTTCAGAGGTTTTAAATCTTTAGATGAATTCTAGCACCAATAAAGCCCTTCTAAGGGTTGATTCTATTTCCATATTTCAGGAGGTAAATCCACTGGGCAATATGGGAAGTTACGTGTAAATTTATTATTCTCCTTTACTTTTGAGAACCACAGTTCCACTGAACTAAAAACCTATTATACTCTTTCCAAGGCTAGCTCTTGAGGAAAGTGCTGTCCCTTCTTCCTAACCCTCGCCACTGAGGACAGACAGCTAACTCACAAATGCTGGTATAAAACGTGTTCGTAATATGTGCTAATTGAGCCTACACCAAAGTGCTACATGAGAAATGTAGCCCACCTGACTAAAAAGGAAGCAGCGAGGAAAACACATTCAACTGCAAGTGATTTTCTTGTGGTGCTCAGGATAACAAAAAAAGTAGACCTGTTTTAACTGCATGAGAGAAATTTCTGATTGTACAACGAAGCCTGGGTACTCACCTCCATCATGTCGGCATGCATGCGAACCAGTCGCTGCACTCGCACTTTCCTTCTCGTCCTTGTATTATAGATGTTATCACCTTTCTTCAACTCTCCTTGATAATTGCGAACGTAAGTTAACTGTCCAAATCGACCTGCCTAGAAGTCAAGATTGGGTAGGACAGAAAGAGTAAAAAAGAAACACAGGAATCAAAAATAAGAGGAAAATTTCATAATCACCTTCAAATACTTGCTCTCAGTTTTAGTAGTACAACTTATATATATATATATATATATATATATATATATGTTTCAGCTTATTGTCATAAACTACTTTGATGCTAGTTTTGAATAAATGGTTCTCGTTCTTTCTGATATCAAAATTCAAGATACTACTTCTGTTTCCTCTGAAAATATTAGAAAAAGTTTTTAAATTATAAGGCAGTTATTTCATAAGTTCAGTTTAATACAGTAAGATATAAAAATAAGGTAAAATTATATTAGAAAGACAACAAAAATATCATTAGAAATGAAAGACTATACATGTTAGAAAAACTGATAATCACCTGGAAAGCTATACAAATATGAATTCTGTAAAGTAACTGAATATAAAATGAATAATCAGGATCATTTCCTCCTGAATATTAACACTAAATGTTAGGTAAATATGTAAAAGTTGCCAGTTCTTCCCATATTAATATTTAGGTCTAACACAATAGCAATAAAATTCCAAAGAGGACTTTTAAATACTTCAAAATATTAAAATAATAGCCTTTATAAAATAAATATCTAAAATGTTTAATTCATTAGTCAACAGATGAAAAAGGAGACATTACACTCAATGAAAAAATTTAACACTGTTCAAAAACTGCTAACTGGACAACTGGTCTTCCATTTGGAGGCAGAGGAATCCAAACAGCCTTCTGAGATCCTAAGAGCATTCAGCAAAACAAACGCCAACTGGGTTAACAATGAAAAAAACAAAAGAACCCACAAGAAAGCAGAAGAGACAAAAGGAAGTATTTATAGAATATAGTCAAAGAGGAAGACTGAGAAAACAACAAAAGACAAAGATTGATGTATTTGACTATGTAAATTTTAAAATAATTGTTTTTTTTAAATTTTATTAGAGAAAGGTTCATACAAATAAGTAAAACACTTTGATTCTAATTTTAAAAAGGGAAAGACAAAAACATAAAGAGGGAATTACAAAAGAGGACATAGAATTGCATAATGAATATATGGAAAAATGTTTTCTATTATTAAGAATTAAGACAAGATACGGGGAAAAGGATTGGGGGGAGGGATGGTTAAGGAGTTGGGATGGACATGTACACACTGCTACATTTAAAATGGATAACCAATAAAGACCTACTGAATAACACAGGGAACTCTGCTTTATGTTATGTGGCAGCCTGGATGGGAGGGGAGTTTGGGGGAGAATGGATACCTGACTATGTATAGCTGAGTCTCTTCCCTGTTGACCTGAAACTAAAAATATGAAAGCAATCTGGAAATATATACCATTAAATATTTAAAATATTTTATATCTTTTACTCAAGAATCACATTCTGGGGATCCTAAGAAAAATATTCCTAGGACTTCCCCGGTGGCACAGTGGATGGGAATCGGCCTGCCAATGCAGGGGACATGGGTTTCATCCCTAGTCCAGGAAGATTCCACGTGCCGTGGAGCAACTAAGCCCGTGCGCTGCGACTACGGACGGTGTGCCTAGAGCCCGTGCTCTCCAACGAGAGAAGCCCAGGTCCTGCAACAGAGAGCAGCCCCTGCCCACCGTAACTAGAGAAAGCCCGCACCCAGCCAGCGGAGACCCGGCGCAGCCGAAAATAACTAATAAACAAACACTCACTGCAGTGTTATTTCTACTTCTTAACTTAAAATTACTTTTTCTGGATTTAGAATAAAAATCATACTGTAAAAACTTAAAAATAGAAACTAGGAAAAAGCACTGCCCCCAATATAATTCCATCCCAGAAATAACCACCCTTGAACACCTCTGACCTATCTACCTTTTTCCTCCTTAAAATATTATACACAGAAGCAACACCACCACAACAAAAAGCACACCCAGTCCCAAAATCTTGGTTCCTAATAGCACTCACAATTAAAAGGAACCAGGGCTCTTAGGCAGACGGCTGATTCTCGGGCCGGGGCAGGGAATATACAACATAAGCCTGGGAGGTAAGGAAGTGTGCAAAGAAGCAAACTACTGGGGCGCGCCTAAAGGTCACAAAAGCCGCCTGCAAGAGCAGCAGCAGCGAGCACCGGTCCGTCTGGCGATAAAATAAATAACATACTACTGGATTTTAGCTCAAAGTATGAAAGTGATATACCTAAGTCCAGACTGATAAAAACAAACGGCTGAATAAGTGAATATGGGGGAGAAAGGACAACTCTCCCTTACAGAAGAATCCCACATAACTCACCGAGACACTGCCCCCTCATGGAGGAAGATCGTAATTCACCCCTTAAGTGTGGGCTGTGCATAGAAACCTTCTTCTAGAGTCAGTATGGAACAGGGTGGGAGACAAAGTAACTTTACAGTGGAGAAATCTGTAACTAAATCTTTCCTAAGAGTCACTTTGTAATAGGAATAAAAGCCTAAAAGAAAAATTCTATATACATCAGTTAAATACATTAGAAAGCAACTTACCTCCAGTTTAAAAGCCAGGCCAACAAATGGATGGGAACTGTCTCTTTGGGGGTTCATTAAGATTTTGGTTTTCTCTTGAGAGCCACTTAAAATAAAAGACATACACATTTATGAGATGCAATATTTGATATTTCTTTTATATCAATTTGTTTCATCAGAATATTACCTGATAAAAAGCATACTTGCACTAAACATTTCTGAGCTTATTCTTAAGCGAAATTTCACTGAATGGGATCAACAAGAATAACTTCTGGCCAATACTGCACTGTGACAGGACCAGAGTAGAATAAAAATCACAAAACGAGTCTCGCAGAAAAAAAATAATGAAAGCTTAAAACATTTTTGTTTCTTAAAAAATATTAAAAAAAAATTTGGTTCCACATGAGAAAATTTTCTAATGATGTAAATCTTCATAATGAAACAAACCATATTCTAACTTACAAACAGAATATGATACGGGAAGGTATAATAAATAATTTTCTTTATGCCAAAATTGTTACACAAACAGAAATAAAGATTGATTTTTATAAATTATTCGGAAAAAACCCCACAAATGCAACATCAAAAACCATTCTTAAATTCTTTTCCAGTGCATAGATGTTCAATTCTCTGTGCACAGACTAAGAATCAATTTCTGAGACTTACTCCTGATTGAGAATGGCGTAATTCTGGACTTCAGATGGATTCGGGAGGTATTCTAAAACAGCGTCTAACAGAGGCTGAACTCCTTTGTTTTTCAAGGCACTTCCCAGAAAGACAGGGGTAAATGACCTGTTTATTGTGGCTCTTCGAATGGCAAGCTGCAAAAGAAAAAAAATTAGTTCATCTTAAAGTTATATTTTGTGTTTCAGATCAACTACAAAGCAACAAATGAATGAAATAAATTGATACTCTTTGGAGTACAGGCTTTAGTGGAGACTGGAATGGGGTTCTCTACAACTTAAGGTCAAAATACCCCCCCCACCAAAAAAATAGAAAGAAAAAGGCTATTTAACTTTCAACACTGTAACTGCTTTCAACCCTCAGAATGTCACTAACTTTCAATTTGTAGAAAAAACTATATATACACATCAGTTCAGTTCAGTTCAGTTCAGTTACTCAGAGGTGTCCGACTCTTTGCGACCCCATGAATCGCAGCACGCCAGGCCTCCCTGTCCATCACCAACTCCCGGAGTTACTCAAACTCATGTCCATGGAGTCGGTGATGCCATCCAGCCATCTCATCCTCTGTTGTCCCCTTCTCCTCCTGCCACAAATGCCTCCCAGCATCAGGGTCTTTTCCAATGAGTCAACTCTTCGCATCAGGTGGACAAAGTATTGGAGTTTCAGCTTCAGCATCAGTCCTTCCAATGAACACCCAGGACTGATCTCCTTTAGGATGGACTGGTTGGATCTCCTTGCAGTCCAAGGGACTCTCAAGAGTCTTCTCCAACACCACAGTTCAAAAGCATCAATTCTTTGGTGCTCAGCTTTCTTCACAGTCCAACTCTCACATCCATACATGACCATTGGAAGAACCATAGCTTTGATCAGATGGACCTTTGTTGGCAAAATAATGTCTCTGCTTTTTAATATGCTGTCTAGGTTGGTCATAACTTTTCCTTCCAAGGAGTAAGCATCTTTTAATTTCATGGCTGCAATCACCATCTGCAGTGATTTTGGAGCCACCCAAAATAAAGTCTAACACTGCTTCTACTGTTTCCCCATCTATTTCTCATGAAGTGATGGGACTGGATGCCATGATCTTAGTTTTCTGAATGTTGAGCTTTAAGCCAACTTTTTCACTCTCCTCTTTCACTTTCATCAAGAGGCTTTTTAGTTCCTCTTCACTTGCTACCATAAGGGTGGTGTCATCTGCATATATGAAGTTACTGACATTTCTAAACCCGGCAATCTTGATTCCAGCTTGTGATTCTTTCAGCCCAGCGTTTACACATAGGACAGTGTAAATGGTATGTTAACAACTGTGCAAAATAGAGGAAAAAGCAACACATATGCAAACAAAACAAAACAAAAATCTATGGAAAGAAACACCAGAAACTATTAACTGGCAGCCTGGTTTAGGAATGGGGCCCAGAGTGACTCAGACAAGAATCTGCCTGCAATGTGGGAGAACTGGGTAGATTGGGAAGACTCCCCGGAGGAGGGAATGGCAACCCATTCCAGTACTCTTGCCTGGAGAACCCCATGGACAGGGGAGACTGGCGGGGTCCATGGTACAGAGAGTCGGACACGACTGTGCAACTAAGCACAGCGCAGAGCGCGGGAGAGATGAGAGCCGGGTGAGAGGCTTTTGTGTGCCTTTACATAGTTTTTGAATGTTTAAACCACATGAAAGTATCATCTATTAAAAAAACAATTAACCAGTTTGCTTTCTTTTTTTAAAGGACATACATACGGGAAGCCAAACCAGTGCAAGCTGCTCATAAATTAAGGGTCCTGATAGTAACCGGCTGTAAATAACGACCTCCTGGTCTTGCACCAACCTCTTGTGCAAGCACCATCCATGCGTCCCAGCCTTGCTCCTCAGGGGGTGCTGGCCACAGGCCTCAGAGGGGGCGGCGGAGCCTGAGCTCTGGTGGCCGGAAGAGGCCAACAGCAGTCTGTGCTGTGGCCACAGCCCACCACAGTTGTTGGTGCAGCAGAAATACGGAGCAGCATAGTTATTTCTCAGTCCTCAGGAAAAATAGAAACCTAGATATTCTACAAACCTTAAAGCAAAACATTTGTAACCACAATTTCTAAACATCACAATGAAAACTAGGATAACAACTGAGCACAATAAAATGAGTATAAAAAGAAGAAAATAAACGCATTAAGAAAACAATCACAATTTGAAACTCTCTTAAACACCTGCTTTTTCCAGGAACCAGAAACGGCTTGGTCACTAACCACTGGGATACCTTAGGCCACAAGGTCACATTTTTGACTTTCCAACCCTTCCTTATATGCAAAAGTAGGAACGTATGAATCTTACCACGCTTTCTTTACTTCCATTGCATAGAGAAACACATGAATGTGGTTGATAAATAGAAAAAAGGTGAAATTAAAGCTAAACCTATACCAGCCTAACAAAAGCTATGTTCTTACCCTAAATTTCCCTTACTTTTGTAAGAAACACATTCACACTTGAAAACTGTAGCCTTTCCACTGTCCCTAATATACCCAATGACAACACAGAAATAAAGTACACTGCAACCTGGAAGAAAACAGGAAATGCAGCAGGACTCCAAGTGCTCTCCCTGAAAGCCCCTTGCAAGGCTGGCCCCTGGCTGGCTTCTGGGAATCTGGATAGCAGCTGATTCCCAGCATTCCAGAACTGGTAAGACTGGCCCACTGTGCCTACACTGCTGCAAAAACAATGGGATGTATGCTAAATACCTGCTTTCCTTCTGGGAATCTGGAAATCCGTATGTGCTAGGCAGGATGTGTCTATGTGATTGAGTATGTCGCTCGGTCATCCCGACTTTGTGACCCCATGGATCGTGGCTGGCCAGACTCTTCTGTCCACGGAATTCTCCAGACAAAACTGCTGGAGTGGGTAGCGATTCCCTTCTCCAAGGGATCTTCCCAACCAAGGGACTGATCCCAGCTCTCCTGCATTGCAGTTTAATTCTTCACCGTCTAACCTACCAGGGGCGCCTTATGTGACCAGCCTCCAGTGAAACCCAGGGCACTGAGTCTCTAATGACCTTCCCGGTAGACATTTCACAGATACAGTCACAACTTGCTGCTCGAAGACACGCAGCTTGAGGACACGCATGGCAAGACTCCGCTTGAGAGCGCGCCTGGAAGCTTCCACCTGGTTCTTCTGGACGTGACCTCACACGCCTTTTCCCTTTGCTGATTCTGCTTTGTACTCTCACTGCAATGCATCCTAGCCATGAGTGTGATTACCTGCCGAGTCCTGGCTCCCAGTGAATCACAGAATCTGGCGTGGTCTTGGGGACTCCTGACACATTCCTTTCAATAGATCAAGACCTCTCTCTGGTGGTTCTTAGGATACGCTGCTTGACTTGATTGCAGGCCCAGACCTATACTTTCCTATACGGAGTTCCTCAGTCATCAGAGAGCTGGGGTGGTGAGGCCTTTGTGAATGGTACAGAACTCAAGCTCAGATATGTTAGTAAGCATCTCAGCTTAAATAGGGTTCTTTCCTTGTGCACCTGATCTATACACTCCTTGAGTACACTGCACTACACACAGTGTTTATTTATCTGATCTCTGCTAAGTGTACTAAGCGGTTTAGCAAAATAAGTGTCAGTCTTTTTTTATTATGATAACGTAAACACCACGAAATTGACTATTTTAACCACTGTTAAGTGTACAGTTCAGCAGCATTGAGTACATTCACACTGCTGTCACCATTATCTCCAAAACTTTTCATCACCCCAAACTGAAACTCTGGACCCATTAAACTTCCCATTCTTTCCTCCCCCAGCCCCTGGTGACCACTGTCCTACTAGGAACTTGACTCTTCTGGCTATCCCACAGAAGTGTAATCATACAATATTTGTCCTTTTATGTCTGGCTTATTCCACTTAACATGATATCCTTAAGACTCACCCATATTGTACCATGTATTAGAATCGGATTCCCTTTTAAAGCTGAATAATATCCCACTGTATGAACATGCCAATTTTACCTGTCTATTCATCCACTGATTGGCACTGAGTTGTTTCCAACTTTGAGCTACTGTAAATTATGCTGCTGTCAACATTGATGTGCAAATATCTGATCCCTGCTTTCAATTCTCTTGCGTATATAGAAATGGAATTGCTGGACCGTATGTTAGTTCTTGGATGTGAATCTGAGCAAACTCTGGGAGACAGTGGGGGAAACAGGAGCCGGGCGTGCTGCAGTCCATTGGGTCGCAAAGAACCAGTCACAACTTAGCAACGGAACAACAACAACGTGGTAGTTCTGGGTTTAATTTTTTTTTTGAGAAATCACCATACTGTTTTCCACAGAAGAAGCATCACTTTACATTCCCACCAGCAATGCACAAGGAGTTCAATTTCTCTACATCCTCACCAACACTTGTTATTTTGCTTTTTAGGTAACAGTCATCCTGATTAATAAAGTGGTATCTCACTGTGGTTTTGATTTGCTTTCCCTAATGACTAGGGATGTTGAGCATCTTTTCATGTGCTTACTGACCCATTTGTTCTCTTTTATGGAGAACTGTCTATTTAAAACATGAATACCAGTCTTAGGCAGGTGATTTTCTCTTCATTTTAAAGCTGAACAATCAAGTAAAGAAATCTATATGGCCTTCCAAATAGTTAACAGTGTCCATTTCTAGTTTATCTTCTTTCTTTTTAATAAGGATATGTCCAAGAGGTTGAATGTTTAAGTATCCCCTTCATGGCTCACTACCTTGGTGGTGAAGGGGCTTGTATAACTCAATGAAGCTATGAGCCATGCCGTGTAGGGCCACCCAAGATGAACGGGTCATAGCAGAGAGTTCTGACAAAATGTGATCCCCTGGAGAAGGGAATGGCAAACCACCCCAGTATACTTGCTGTGAGAATCGCATGAACTGTATAAAAGGCCAAAAAGATATGACACCCAAGCTGAGTACCCCAGGTCTGAAGGTGTCCAAGATACTACTGGGGAAGTGTAGAGGAGAATTACCAATAGCCTCAGAATGAGTGAAGCGGCTGGGCCAAAGCAAAGATGACTCTCAGCTGTGGATGTGTCTGGTGATGAAAGTAAACCCTACGCTGCAAAGGACAGTACTGCATAGGAATGTGGAGTGTTAGGTCCATGAAGCAAGGAAAATTGGACATGGCCAAGCAGAAGATGCTAAGAATAAACACTGACATCTTAGGAATCAGCGAACTAACATGGACGGGAATGGGCGAATTTAATTCAGATGACCATTGTATCTACTACTGTGGGCAAGAATCCCATAGAAGAAGCGGAGTAGTCTTCATAATCAACAAAAGAGTAGAAATACAGTACTTGGCTGCAGCCCCCCAAAAGAATGATCTCAATTCGTTTCCAAGGCAAGCTGGTCAACATCACAGTAATCCAAGTCTATGCCCCTATTACCAATGCAGAAGAAGCTGAAGCTGATCAATTCTACAAAGACCTAGAAGACCTTCTAGAACTAAAAGAGATGTTCTATCCACCATCAGGGATTGGAATGCAAAAGCAGGAAGTCAAAATATACCTGGAGTAACAGGCAAGTTTGGCCTTGGAGAACAAAATGAAGCAGGGCAAAGGTTAACTGAATTCAGTCAAGAGAATGCACTAGTCATAGCAAATACCCTTTTTCAACAACACAAGAGATGACTTTTCACATGGACATCACCAATTAGTCAATACCAAAATCAAACTGATTACATTCTTCATAACTGAAGATGGAGAAGCTGTATATAGTTGGCAAAAACAAGACCTGGAGCTAACTGTGCTCAGATCATCAGTGTCTCATAGCAAAATTCAGGCTTAAAATAAAGAAAACCAGGAAAAACAACAGGCCAGCCAGGTATGACTTAAATCAAATGCTGTACGAATTTGCAATAGAGGTAACAAATAGGTTCAAGTGACTAGATCTAATTAACAGTATGCCTAAAGAACTACTGACAGAGGTCCATGATACTGTACAGGAAGTGGCAAACAAAATAATCCCAAAGAAAAAGGAAAGCAAGAAAGCAAAGTGGTTGTCTGAGGCGGCCTTGAAATAGTGGAAGGACAAAGTGAAAAGCAAGGGAATGAGGGAGAGGTACATCCAATTACACGCGGAGTTCCAAAATATAGCTAGAAGAGGCAAAAAGGCGCTCTTCAATGAACCATGCTTAATAATAGAAGAAAACAACAAATGGGGAAAGGCTAGAGATCTCTTCAGAAAAAATGGAAACATCCAGGGAGCATTCTGCCCAAAGATGGGCACAATAAAGGATAAAAATGGTAGAGACCTCGTAGATGCTGAAGATCAAGAAGAGATGAAAAGAATACACAGAAGAACTATATAAAGAAGATCTTAATGAACCAGATTATTACAATGGTATGGTTAGTCACCCAGAACCAGACATTCTGGAGTGTGAAGTCAAGTGGGCTTTAAGAAGCCCTGCTGTTAATAAAGCTAGTGAATGCAATGAAATTCCAGCAGAACTATTCAAATACCTAAAGGATGACACCAAGCTGGTTTTAGAAAAGGCAGAGGAACCAGAGATCAAATTGCCAATATCCGTTGGATCATTGAAAAAGCAAGAGAGTTCCAGGAAAACATCTATTTCTGCTTTATTGACTACGCCAAAGCCTTTGACTGTGTGGATCACAATAAACTGTGAAAAATTCTGAAAGAGATGGGCATGCCAAACCACCTGACCTGCCCCTTGAGAAACCTGTATGCAGGTCAGGAAGCAACATTTAGAGCCAGACATGGAACAACAGACTGGTTCCAAATAGGAAAAGGAATTTTTATGTCAAGGCTGTATATTGTCACCCTGCTTATTTAACTTATATGCAGAGTACATCATGAGAAACGCTGGGCTGGAAGAAGCACAAGCTGGAATCAAGATTGCCGGGAGAAATATCAATAACCTCAGATAAGCAGGTGACACCACCCTTATGGCAGAGAGTGAAGAGGAACTGAAAAGCCTCTTGATGACAGTGAAAGAGGAGAGTGAAAAAGTTGGCTTAAAGCTCAACATTCAGAAAATTAAAATCATGGCATCTGGTCCCATCACCTCATGAGAAATAGATGGGGAGAAAGTAGAAACAGTGTCAAACTTTACTTTTTTGGGCTCCAAAATCACTGCGGATGGTGACTGCAGCCATGAAATTAAAAGACACTTACTCCTTGGAAGGAAAGTTATGACCAACCTAGACAGCATATTAAAAAGCAGAGACATTACTTTGCCAACAAAGGTCCATCTGATCAAAGCTATGGTTCTTCCAGTGGTCATGTATGGATGTGAGAGTTGGACTGTGAAGAAAGCTGAGTGCTGAAAAACTGATGCTTTTGAACTGTGGTGTTGGAGAAGACTCTTGAGAGTCCCTTGGACTGCAAGGAGATCCAACCAGTCCATCCTAAAGGAGATCAGTCCTGGGTGTTCATTGGAAGGACTGATGCTGAAGCTGAAACTCCAATGCTTTGGCCACCTGATGCGAAGAGCTGACTCACTGGAAAAGACCCTGATGCTGGGAGGGATTGGGGGCAGGAGGAGAAGGGGACGACAGAGGATGAGATGGCTGGATGGCATCACCAACTCGATGGGCATGAGTTTGAGTAAACTCCGGGAGTTGGTGATGGACAGGGAGGCCTGGCGTGCTGTGATTCATGGGGTCGCAAAGAGTCAGACACGACTGAGTGACTGAAATGAACTGAAAGGATGACACCATCAAGGTTTTTATGGCAGCAAATCCAGAAGACCCAGTAGTAGTCACAGAACTGGAAAAGGTCAACCCTCATCCCAACTCCCAAGAAGGGTAGTACCAAAGAATGTGCTAACCACTGGACAATTGCACTCACCTCCCATGCTAGTAAGGTCATGCTTAAAATCTCGTATGCTAGGCTTCAGCATTATGCGAATGAAGAACTTCCAGATGTCCAAGCTGGGTTCAGAAAAGGAAGAGGAACTAAAGATCAAACTGCCAAGATTCACTACATTACAGGGAAAGCAAGGGAATTTCAGAAAAACATCTATCTCTGTTTCATCGACTATGTTAAAACCTTTGACTGTGTGATCATGACAGACTGTGGAAAGCTCTTAAAGAGATGGGAATATCAGATCATCTTATCTGTCTCCCAAGAAACCTGATGTCGGTCAAGAAGCAACAGTTAGAACCCTGTATGGAACAACTGATGGGTTCAAGATGGAGAAAGGAGTATGACAGGGCCGTCACCATTTGTTTAACCAACACACTGGGCATATCATGAGAAATGCTGGGCTGGATGACTTACAAGCCGGAAAAATGCTGGGCTGGATGACTTACAAGCCGGAATCAAGATAGGTGGGAGAAACATCAACAACCTCAAATATGGGGATGACACCATTCCAATCGCAGAAAGTGAAGAGGAAATAAAGAGCCTCTTGATGAGGGTGAAAGAGGAGAGTGAAAGGGCTGGCTTAAGACTAAATTAAAAAAAAAAACTAAAGACAATGGCATCTGGCCCCATACTGCACGGCAAACAGAAGGGGAAAAGGTAGAAGTAGTGACAGATTTCCTCTTCTTGGGCTCCAAAATCACTGCACACAGTGGTTGCAGCCATGAAATCATAAGACAATTGCTTCTTGGCAGGAAAGCGATGACAAACCTAGACAGTGTGTTGAAAGCAGAGACATTACTCTGCCGACAAAGGTCCATATGGTTAAGTCTATGGTCTTCCCAGTGGTCACATATGGTTCTGAGAGCTGGATGGTAAAGAATACAGAATGCCAAAAAATTGATGCCTTCGAACTGTGGGGCTGGAGAAGACTTGTGAAAGTCCCCTGGACAGCAAGGAGATCACACCAGTCAATGTGAAGGGAGATAGACCCTGAAAATTCACTGGAATGACATGCTGAAGCTGAAGCCCTAGTATTTTGGTCACCTGATGCAAAGAGACAACCCATTGGAAAAGTCCCTGATACTGGGAAAGATTGAGGGCAGGAGAAGGGGGCATCAGAGGATGAGACGGCTGGATGGCATCACAGGTGCACTGAATATTAACTTGAGCAAACTCTGGGAGATGGTGACGGACAGGGAGGCCTGGTGTGCGGCAGTCCACGGGGTCGCAAAGAGTCAGAACTGACTGGGCAACCGAGCAACACCACTGCAGAACTGCCTGTCTAAATACTGAATACCAGTCCTAGGCAGGTGATCACTTCATTTTAAAGAGATGAACAACTAAGCAAAGGAATCTATGGCCTTCCAAATAGTCAAGAGTGTACACTTACAGTTTATCTTTTTTCTTTTTGATAAAGACAGGTCCAAGAGGCTGGCTGTTTAAATATCTCTTTTCCTAGAACAAACTGATTCCTTTCCCATTTTATATAACTCACTACGTTAAAAAAAGAGTAATATGCCATATCACACTTGTTTTTGAAGGAACCAATTATGTTAAACAACTTGCTTGGATTTCATTAATAAAGCCCCTACATAAAAGCATCATGTCCCTCCCCTACAAAAAACAAAACAAAATGAAACAAAAAAACCTTCTTTTTCTTGTTAATATAAGACATATTTTGAGAGCACCTGCCTTTAAATCTGAGATTGAGGGAGTTTTTTCTTCCAGAAACATCTCTCCAAGTTGCTCATCTGAATTAGCAACACATTCAATCAGCTCCTGCCGGTGGTCTGCGGCTGCCGCCCTGAATTCTGCTGGAATTTCCCCGTATCGAACAATCTGACTAAGAGAAGAAATGTTTTACTTTGGTACTTTAAGAATATTCAATTAAATTGTAATTAACTTTACTCAATAAAAATTAATTTGAAAAAAGAATATTCAATTAAACATATAAGTTATCAATGAAGAAGATAAACTAATGGTCAAAACATTTTTTGAGATAAGAGCTCTGATATTTTTGCATTAAAATCACAAATAAGAAAAATATGTATCTATAAAATTCAGACAGAATAGTGGATAAAATACTTTCAAACAGGCAAAGCAAATCGCTCAAGGTTGTACTACCAGTAAATGTACAAGCCACACACAATTCAAAGCCAAACTGACCCCAAAGCCCGTGAGGACAGCTGATCCGTGAACAATGCAAGTTTGAACTGCGCAGGTCCACTTATACAAAGATGTTTTTCAATAAACATGCAAAAATACGTGTATTACATTGTGTGCAAGACTTGTACACAAGTGGACTTGTACACAAGTGGACACTTGTACACTTGTACACAAGTGGACAGCCTATCATTATGTAGGAATAAGTAAATGATATTTAATATGAAATTTAAAATGTGTTAGTTTTATTACTGTTTTATAACTTTGCTTTCAAAGAATTACATCCATACAGTGCCTCTCTCACAGAATTACAGAAACTGCATACCATCACACGTAATTTTTTTAAGTCCCAACATTTCCAATACTGTATAATGTCATATGCCATAAACAATTTTATAATGACTAGGCTAGGCTACTGCTTTCCACCAATTACCCTAGGCTACCATAAAGCAATACATCGCTGCTTCTTTCTTATCAATGCATGAACTGTTATACCTGTAAATAAATATGAATGTCTTTTCACATTATCTTTTCATTTTTGATAGCATCCAGTCAACAGCAGGTTATTAGTAGGTAAGTTCTGGGGGGAGTCAACAGTTATACTTGAACTTTTTACTGGATGAGGGATCAACACCTCTAATCTCCACACTGTTCAAGGGTCAACTGTACTGGAAAATTCTATTAACCAAATTAATCAGAATATCACAGTCTTTGACAAGCAAGATTAGACTTGACTATTTCGGGTCATTAATAACAAATCCAATTACACAATTTTTTTTAATACAGAATACTCCATTTTGTAGTTTAAAAAAAAAAGTTTACTAATTATGACAGACTGTTCAAACTTGACCTCCATTCTCCATTCCTTTAGGGGCCAGATAGCTAAAAGTCACAAATAAATACACACAAGAGAGAAATGGACATACTTGATATTTACAAACATCAGTCTGAACACTTTAAAAGTATTTCTTTAAAAACGCAATCTAATATCAAGCACTAACAAGCTTTTCAGAAGAAAAATTCCTGAAAAAAAAAGGGGGTAAGGAGGGAGAAGCAAATCGCAAATAGTCAGAAAATAATTCTGATTATCCTAAAGAATGCCTCTTCACAGCCTTCAGAATCTAATTTCTTCCTTCCTAGCAAGGTCCCTGCTTAAATCTTTCATTTTGGAAACTTCCTTTGAAAATATACACAATAGTGGTCTAGGGCTGGGAAAAGGCGCAGGTGTATTAAGAAGTTCCAACTGTGGTTCTGATGCACAACAAAATTTAAAAACCTCTACTTTAGAAGACAGAAATGTGTGCACTGGTAATTCTGGGCAAGCGATATAATCATTTACTTAAAAATATTTTTTGAGTCCCTATTTTGTACCAGACAGTTCTAAGGCTGGGGACATAGCAGCAGATAAACCTGATAAAAATTCTTGTCCCTTACATTCTAAGGAGAGGTAAACTTGGTTGTCATTCCTTAGTTGTGGAACAAAAAATGAGATACGCCTTGTCCACTGAATAGGCTTGATCTCCTTATGTAAAAGATTGTCAATAAAGATAAACTCTATAGTTATCTGATCACAAAGGCCTTCATCCACCTGCCAGACTAGTAATTTCAGTTCCAAAACAGAGGAAGGGACCCCCTTAAAAAGGACCTTTGGAGAAACTGCCAGGCTCTGGAGCGGTCCTTCAGAACAAAGGATCACTTACCACTCCCAGCACTGTCTAGATTAGTGCCACTCAAACTGTGGCATTCAGACCTGAAACATCAGCGCCACTTGGGAGCATTCCAAAAATGCAAACACCAGGCCCCACTCTATAGCTACTGCATTAGAATCCCTGCAAGTGGATCCAGATATGTGCATTTTTCCAGGTGATTTTTCTCAATGCCACAGTTTGATAACCACTGGACTCTGTATGCAAAGGTCTCTCAAAAGTTGGTTGATGGACCAAATAGCATGTCAAAAGTTACCAATTTGCTTTTTGTATTGCCCAAACTACATTCTTTTATTTACATAAAAGAATATGTAACTTCTTTTACACATTAATCTGTTTATCTTTGTAATCCTATGAAGTAAGTAGAGGAAGTATTTATAATTCCTTCTTCCCAGCTTTTATAATACTCACGACACAGTAGTTGTTCCAACAAAATCTACAGAACAAATGAACAGATCAATGAATAAAAGCAGAAAAAGAGATATTACATCATTAGTTTAAGCTGAAGGCCTCCTTTCACCATACCACGTATATCATGTGATATACACATATCATCCAAATGTATATATGTATATATCATCCACATGTATATATGATATACATGTATCATGCTAAGCAAAATGGGAAGCAACTAGAATTAAATGCATTAAAAGAAAATCATCTTAGATGACATTTTTTCAGTCTCATTTCAAAAAAGTTTATATTTAAAGCACTCATCCATTTCCTTCTCTTTGATACTTTTTTAAAATATAAGATTTGAATAGTGTATTTTTAACACTTACCCAAAGTCTCCATCAAAATAGATGGCTCGTTCCTCAATAAGATCTATAATACCTTTAAAATCACTCTCTAAACCAATGGGCAATTGCACAAACGCTGCATTATGACTTAGTTTAGACCTGAAAAATAAAAATACATGTTTACCCCTTTTTCTCTTCACCAAATTTCTTTGAACTGACAAAATAAATAAAAAAAGAAATCAATGGCAGATCTTTGGAACTGATTAGCAGGTCAGAGCCAAAGGTACAAACAGCTGGGAACAGATGGACAAATTCATTGTACTCAGGAAGTACAACCCTATTTAGGCAACAAAAGTATCTGTAAGATAAGTGTTCTTTCCATTAGATCCCCAGAATACCCTGAATCAGACACAGAAGGGAGAAGACAGGTCACTGGGTGGTTGACCGGGAAATTAAAGGATGGTGGGATAATTGTGCCCACATCTCCTCCTTGGATCAGCTAATACAAGTGAAGCCAAGTACAGCTATCTGAAAAGGAAATTCCTTAGAGGGAAAATTCGTGCGGTGGTTATTAGACACTCATCGTCAGCCTGTACACCCAATCGGCACAACCACAGAACGGAAATTGCACTCACTGGCAGGAATTCACGTTCAAGGAGAAATATGCTCTAGCCACCACTGTTTAGTCTGTAACTTTGACCAGATAACTAAGAACTACCAAATATTTCACAAGGAAACAAACAGCTTGAAAGAGATGGGAGCTCAAGAAATAGTACCAGCTTCCAAGGAGAGTTACCAGAGAAAACAAAATGTAAAGATCTAAGAAGTAATTACCTCTATTAATATGAAACTGAACTACATAATTGCTGGGATTAAAAAGAACAAAAACCAGGCTAAATAACAGAAGGGAAGCAGATGAATACCAAAGAAGTGAGTTGGAAGACTAAAAAAATTTTCTCATAACCCAGTGAAAAGTGAGAAGGAAACAGAAAATATGAGAAAGTATGGTAGAAAAAGTAAGACAGAGAGGTCAGATTCAGAAGTTTCAAAATCTATTTAATGGGAATTATAGGATGAGGTAACAGATAAAGGGGAGTGGAGCAAAGTAGTATCTGACTACCAAAATAGTCAAATAAATGCTGAAAGAGAATCTGCCTGGAATTCAGAAAAAGACTTGGTGGAAAGAAACCATCTATTGCCAACCACAAGTAAAATATAATTAGAACAAAAAGTGAAAACATTTCATTTTACCAAGAAAGTATTACAAACACCCAATAAAGAAAAGTTCCACGTGCATATTCTCACACACGTCACCTCCCTCAGAGCACACAGCAATACCATCACTTAAAGTTCCCTGACACTGCATCTCTTGTCAGGAGACACATTAGTCTCTCCGCTGCCAGACTTTACTGCCTACATCCAAGAGTTCTGTCACAGGAGACTTGAGTGGGAACTCTATGGCTCCATCTACAGATCTACAAAAGGTAAAGAGTGCAATCGACTCTTCTCAAAGGCTGTGTGAAATACATCATACTGTGAAAAATGTAAAATCATGTGAAGACCACTGGGTTATGTCTCTAAAGGAAGGACTGCTGCTTTCCTAACAAATACATTAACTGATGAAAACGAGAATATAGCATACTACTGACAATTTAAGGCATTACATTAAAATTCCTCAAGTAAAGGTTAAAACTGAAGACAATCCTTTACACTTGTCTAAATAAACATGAAGTACTTTTAGAATCTATCCTAGATTATAACTTCTCTAATTATAACACTACAAATGACCAGATGAGTTCTGAATTCACCTTCAACTTATCTAAAAATTTAAGTCATATTTCTCTGATTATACAGAGAAAGTACTTGATAAAATCATATCACAAACTAAACTATGGACATCAGGGTTCTATTTACTAAGATAAGTAATTCACATATGTGAATTTTAAAAAGGAAAAAAAAATTAAGGATAAAGCTTAATGACACTGAATTAACTGTGTTTCTAGATGTAAGGTGGAGAAGGAAATGGCACCCCACTCCAGTGCTCTTGCCTGGAAAATCCCATGGACGGAGGAGCCTGGTGGGCTGCAGTCCATGGGGTTTCGAAGAGTCGGACATGACTGAGCGACTTCACTTTTACTTTTCACTTTCACGCATTGGAGAAGGAAATGGCAACCCACTCCAGTGTTCTTGCCTGGAGAATCCCAGGGACGGGGGAGCCTGGTGGGCTGCCGTCTATGGGGTCGCACAGAGTCGGACACGACTGAAGTGACTTAGCAGCAGCAGCAGCTAGATGTAAGGTCTGTTAGCTAGATCGTAACTGTTCTAAGGTGCAGTACCTCATTTGCTGCAGGGCCCTGGCTGGGTTGGAGCCCATTCGGTCGAGCTTGTTAATGAAAGTTAGAAACGGGACACTGTAGCGCTTCATCTGCCGGTTAACAGTCATGGTCTGGCACTGCACCCCTCCGACCGCACAGACAACCAGGACCGCACCGTCCAGCACTCTCAGGGCTCTCTCAACTTCTATTGTGAAGTCCACGTGCCCTGCACGAGACAGAGAAGCGTGTGAGCGTCTTAAAAAGCAGTCTGAATCTTTACAACATGCACAAGTAAAAGGCTTTCTATCTCTGATCATTATGGCAGTCTTCTAGGTAGAATGTGGATTTTTTAAACCACCAATATCATTCACCAACCATAAGGTCCAGGGGCCCAACAAAGTCAAACTTCAAAAAGATACTAGGACATGGGCACCTGTGGAATTAGCAGCAACATGTAAAAGGCAAGAATCTTCCTAGTCACTATTTATTTGCACTCTTTTCAAAGAAACCACTTAAGGATGAAGTATTCTAGGTCCCATTCAGATTTCTCTAATAGGGAATTCACAGTCACACTTTTGGAGTTTTATTTGATACTCAAAAATGAGCTAGGTCATAGGAGAGGAAAGAAGTAAGTGTGCTGCTGCCCAAAAGGCTGCAATAAAACCAAGAACTCAACTCACCAGGAGTATCTATGATGTTGATGTTGACATCTTTCCACATGGTGTAGGTGGCCGCTGACTGAATAGTGATTCCTCTTTGTCTCTCTAGTTCCATGGAATCCATGACAGCACCAACTCCATCTTTACCTTTCACCTAGACACAAGCATAGCAATTCAGGTTTCTCTGTCCCTGCATTCCAAGAAGGGACGACACCTTTACAGAAAGAACCATAACACAGAGAAACCCAATTTTAGAGAAACCTAACTGTCAAGCCACATCTCAGGAAATACCAATCGAAACCTGATTACAGTATTTGGTCTCTATGAACAGCAACCCTTTTTTCACTGCTGTTGTCAGCAGCTGCTGCCACTGAGCGCGACCTGGTCTTAAAAGCCATCCTGGCTCCCTCTGCCGTGTTTCTTCCTACCCGCCCTGCGTCAGGCTGGGAGCAGGCGTGCAGGGAGCAGCTATTTCCCTTCCCTGCCACTCGTGGACTTTGAGGGCTGGGTGGGAAGGATTCGGCTTCTAAAGTCTGCGATTTAACAAGATGGTCTTCATCCAAAGTAACACTTTTAAGTGGAAAGTTGAGTTAGTGGATATGTAATGCCTTCAGGAGAGTTCCAAGATTTTCTAAAATAATTTTTTCCTGATAACTGTCATTTTTAACTAGTAGGCTGATACTACACATCATCATTTTAAACCCTTTCCCCACTTAACATTATAAACATCTCTCCAAAACATTTCAAAGTATGCAAACATTATTTTAATGGCTGCTTATGGATGTATCATATTGACTTAACATTCTTTTTTTTTTAATTGGAGGAAAACTGCTCCACAATGTCGCATTGGTTTGTCATAGATCACCATCAATCAGTCATGATTGTACATACACCCACTCCCTCTTAAGCCTCCCTCCACTTTCTCATGGCACCCCTTCAGGTCACAGATCACCAGGCTGGGAGCCGTGTGTGACACACCAACTTCTCACCAGCTGTGTGTTTTGCACACGGCAGAGCATACATGTCTGTGCTACTTTCTCCGTTCACCCCATTCTCTTCTCCCCCACTGTGTCTACAAATCCCTTCTCTACGTCTGCGTTTCCATTCCTTCCCTGCAAACAGGTTCGTCAAAACCATTTTTCTAGATTCCACATATATATGTTAATATACAATATTTGCTTTTCTCTTTCTGACTTACTTCACTGTATATAACAGACTCCATCTCACTAAAACATCCATTTTTATGCCTGAGTAATATTCATATATGTGTGTCTCTCTCTCTAGTCACCTGTTGATGGACATCAAGGCTGCTTCTAAGTCCTAGCTGTTGTAAATAGCGCTGTGATGAACTCTAGGGTACATGTGTCTTTTTCAATTATGGTTTTCTCGGATTGACTTAACATTCTTAAAAAAAAACAGTCTGCCCAGGATACCCACAGTGATGATTTCTAGAGAAACTCCTTAGAGCAACATTTCAAGCCAACCTGAGCTATCCACTTTGTGACTCTGATTAAATTTCCAGGGTTACCATCCTTCTAATCTTTCGGGATTGTGAAGTTTATTAAATCCTTACAAAACAATCAAACCAAGGTCAAACGAATCTGCAGTCAACCATGAACCCCATACCTCATGCATTTTTGTGATTCTGCCAGTGTAGTAAAGCACTCGTTCTGTTAATGTAGTTTTCCCAGAATCAATGTGAGCTGAGATCCCGATATTTCGTATCTTTTCATTAGGAATCATCCCTGAGGAACACCATCGGCAGATCTTCCAATTAGCCTGAAAAAATAAGAGAGCTCAATTCAGGGCACTTTTTATGAAATAACAGTGGACAATTAGAAAGGGCTGAGTGGACATCTCTCCTCTAAGAAATCTCAATGAACACAAAACGGCATAGGAGATAGCCTGAAAAGGCAAAACAGTGAATGTCTCAGCCATCAACTCCTGTAACCAAAGAAGAGACTGAAAGGGAGAACAAGAAAGGCATACTCGTAAAAAAAAAAAACAGAAAAAATACATTCAATTAAATAAAAATGGACAGATATTTTTACTATATGGTACAGGTTTGAAAACATACACTTGGGCTGATAAAATCAGAAACACACGTTCCCAACAGCTGCTTTAATAGGAAATAGTTTTCACTCTACATTTTACTTTGATTTTCCCCAGTTCCTTCTTACTGTAGATTCACAGCTAGCAAGGATTTTTGAGGATTTTTAAGCTGTATGCAGAGGTGCCAATATGTTCAAGGTAGTGTACAAAAGGTTGCCAATTCCTCCTACCCCAAAACAATAACTTTTAAACAACAACTTTATTTTACTCCAGTGGTGACAGGGAATTCTGCATTTTATGCAATCAAGACATAATATAAATCTCTCCCTATAGGACTGCACATCCAAAATGCACTGCAGCCACTTCTAGATAAGGGGAAGTAGATGTCAAATGGAATCTGGGTGATCAGCACTTAGTTGATTAAAATCCAGGGATATCAGCAAGCAGAGCAAAGGTCTGCATGACAGGAAAGGATCAACTCCTACCTATTGTGGGTCAGGAAGCAACAGTTAGAACTGGACATGGAACAGACTAGTTCCAAATAGGAAAAGGAGTACGTCAAGGCTGTATATTGTCATCTGCTTATTTAACTTATATGCAGAGTACATCATGAGAAAGGCTGGAAGAAGCACAAGCTGAAATCAAGATTGCTGGGAGGAATATCAATAACCTCAGATATGCAGATGACACCACCCTTACGCAGAAGAACTAAAGAGCCTCTTGATCAAAGTGAAAGAATAAACTGGAAAAGTTGGCTTAAAGCTCAACATTCAGAAAACTAAGATCATGGCATCCAGTCCCATCACTTCATGGCAAATTTATGGGGAAACAGTTGAAACAGTGGCTGACTTTATTTGGGGGGGGGCTCCAAAATCACTGCAGATGGTGACTGCAGCCATGAAATTAAAAAGATACTTACTCCTTGGAAGGAAAGTTATGACCAACCTAGACAGCATATTAAAAAGCAGAGACATTACTTTGTCAACAAAGGTCCCTCTAGTCAAGGCTATGCTTTTTCCAGTAGTCATGTATGGGTGTGAGTTGGACTACAAAGAAAGCTGAGCAGTGAAGAATTGATGCTTTTGAACTGATGTGTTGGAGAAGACTCTTGAGGGTCCCTTGGACTGCAAGGAGATCCAACCAGTCCATCCTAAAGGAGATCAGTCCTGGCTGTTCATTGGAAGGACTGATGTTGAAGCTGAAACTCCAACACTTAAGCCACCTGATGCCAAGACCTGACTCATTTGAAAAGACCCTGATGCTGGGAAAGACTGAGGGCAGGAGAAGAAGGGGACGACAGAGGATGAGATGGTTGGATGGCATCACCGACTCAACGGACATGGGTTTGGGTAGGCTCCGGGAGTTGGTGCTGCAGTCCACGGAGTCGCAAAGAGTCGGAGACGACTGAGCGACTGAACTGAACTGAATGCTCTGCGACCTCTCCCCGCGTCCCGTAAAAGGCAGACAGAACCAAAGAAAGGTAATGGGAAGGTCAGGCTACAAATCAAATAACACGGGTCAGCTAAAAGAGAGAGCACTCGGCCCAACGACACTCTGTACTGAAAAGAGCACTGGATAATGTGCCAGAAGCCCTGGGTTCGAGCCCTGAACACACTGATTTTTCAGTTGTCTTGATCTTCACTCCAGTTACCTCTTCTCTTTAAGGTATACTAAAAATACGAGGCTTAACCGGAGGCCGCCCAACCTCCCAGGGCACCGAGACGCTGCTCATGAATAACCAGCAGCTGTGCAGACACCCAGGGGGCTTTTTCACACTGAGGTCCATTCGGAGTCGTCAGTAAGGAGATGCCAGGGAGGGAGAGGTGTCGCTTCCCCCTCCGGCCCCGGACGCACCGCAAGGTCCCGGGGACAGACCGTGGTGCGGCACGCCCCGCCGGACTCTACCTGCTTCCCCTGCCAGCCCAGGGCTGCGGGGAACTGCGGGAGCGGCCCGCGGCCCACAGCCGCGGCGGCGGCAGCTCCCAGCAACCTCATGGCGAACGCAGCACAGGCCAGAAGGTCCCGCGACTCCGGCCCTGTCCAGCAACCGGCACTATTATTGGAAGCGGTCAAAGTCACGCCGGCAATCAGCGCCGAAGAGCACTTCCGGGGCGAAGGATACGAGGGAGGAGAGAAAGAAAGAGAGGGAAAAGCTTCCGGATCTCAGGGCAGAGCGGCGTCCTCCGCTGCCCGGCTGCCCTCTACCGACTGGGAAGAGAAAGTGCAGTCGCTTTGCGTAGCTAATCAGGCTTTTAAAGCACGCTGCCAGAAAGATGCAGCCTTCATTTGCTTTGCCTATACAGCAAAGTGGAGAAATGTTTATATTTAACTTAAAAATGCAAAATCGTTATTAATGCTACTACAAAAATATGAAAAAATAATCTACAGGATATGATCTGTAAAAAACTTGGGAAAAAAAAATCTACAAGTGATTTTTCTCGTTTCAAGATGTTCTATCGTTCGATGCTAAACATGATATGTCTAGTCTATATAGAAGATAGCATCTTTGAGATTCCACTTCGATTTCTTGGAGGCATTGGAGCTAATGATCTTCCCCTCAAAACCTTCTTCTGCAGTCTTTGTCTCAACGGAAACTCCTTTCCTCGAGTTGCCGGGACCAAAAATGTGACTTTGAACCCCTCTTTGACTTTCCTGCTCTAGTCAGTCGGCATGTACTATGGGCCCTGCGTTAAAAAATGGATCCAGAATCTGCACCTTCTCCCCACCTCTCAAAGCACTGCTGTCTGGATGGAATTACTGTCAGCCCATCTGACCTTACAGCTTCTGCCCCACGGCTGCTCGGCCTAGCCTCTTCACAGCCACTAAAAGGGATCCTAAAACCCCGAGGGTGTCATTTTCTGCTAAAAACACCCATCCAGTGAGTTATTGTTACTGTCATCTCTACTTTAGCATTGGCTTGAAATTTTTTATAACTAAAATTTTAATCTTGAAGCTTTTCATTACCTTAAAAATTTAACTAACTAAAATTTTAAAAAATTAACCTTCAGAATAAGCACCTACAAAGACTTGCTTGAGCAGCCACGCCAGCCTGGCCCTACTTCACTTGCTCTTCTTCCTCTCCGCCTCCTGGCTGACCCTCACATAACCGGAGCCGGTGCTCTGCTCCTGATACACGCATAGCTCTTTCCCTTTCTTCTCTGTTCACATATCTTCTATCAATTAGGTGTTCCCTGACCAGCTCTTCTAAAACAGCAACCTCTTCCCTATGTTTGTGCACTGCTTCGTTTTCCTTCTGAGCTCTTCTTAGATACATCCAGACACATCTTACACAACTATTGTCTGACTCTCCCAATTAGAACTGCTCCAAAAGGATAGTGGTTTGGTTTTCTTAATTGCTGTATTCCTTGCTATGCTGAATAAATAGTTAAATGAGTAAGAGCAAATAAATAGAAATCAGAGTAAATTACAAGAGACAAGAAAAACCATAGATTCGATGATGAATTTTGGACTTAGTTTTTATATATCAACCATTTGTTAATTTGTAGTAAAGGACTGACTTTGATGAATAAATCCATTAATGTTGAATATACTTTTAAGCAAACTTTATTCATAGGCTTTCAAAAACTGAGTCTTTATAAACTTTTGTATTTGTTTAAAATATACAAATTAAATAATAGTTATGTAAATGGTAATAAAATTAAGGTTTTAAGATATAATTTAAGTAAAAAAGTATGTTAGTTTTGAAATTGCTTTTTGAAATTACCATTTTAACAAACTAAATTTCCTAGAGTAAAAATTCATACTCTTCCTGGATGTGTATATTTATATTCATATTTTTCTGTAATTATTACACCAAGTATGTTAATTTTTTTTTGTTAATCACCACTTTTAACCAAAGTAATAAACTTTTGTTTGCTCCACAGAAAGAACTAGAAGACAAAAAACCAAAAACCGTCTAACTAGGTTTCTGAGTACACTTTATAAATTATTTCTGTTAAGTTTTAAAATGGCAAGATATACATTATATTACTTAAAGTAGTTGCACATTCTGCTAATTCAGTCATTTTATAATATATAAGAATAAAGATAAATTCAATGAAGGTCCTGATTCACTGCAGTGAAGGGAAGGTCTAGTCAAACCTCAGTAGAATCTCCAATATAGCCTAGCCTGACTGGCCCAATACCACAGTCTTAGTCCATTTGGTCTGCTATAACAAAAGCACTAGACTGGGTGACTTGTAAACAACTGAAATTTATTTCACACAGTTCTGCAGGGTGGGAAGCCTGAGATCGAGGCTCCAGGAGACTCAGTGACAGTGTGTGGGACGTCCTGGTTCATAGGCAGCCAGCTTCTCACTGTGTGCACACGAGGTAGGAAGAACAGGCGAGCCGTCTGGGGTCTCTTTTGTTGTTTAGTTGCTCAGTCGTGTCTGACCCTTCGCAACCCCATGGACTGTAGCCCACCAGTCTACTCTGTCCACTGGATTTTCCCAAGTAAGAATACAGGAGTGGGAAATACTCCAGGAAAATACATTTCCTCCTCCAGGGGATCTTCCTAACCCAAGGATCAAACCCCTATCTCATGCGTTGGTAGGCAGATTCTTCACCGCCAAACCACCAGGGAGACCCAGGGTCTCTTTTTTGTTGTAGTTCAGTTGCTAAGTTGTATCCCACTCTTTGCGATCCCATGGGCTGCAGCATGCCAGTCGGTCCTCCACTATCTCCCAGAGTTTGATCAAATTCAAGCCCACTGAGTCGGTCTCTTCTACAAAGGCTTTAATTGTATTCATGAGGGCTCCACCCTCATAACCTTACAAAGGGCCCACATCCAAATACCATCACATGGCCATGAGCAAGTCACCATTTGATACCAATGTGCTCCTGCCTCTGCCCTGTGACAGTAATAGATAATGAAATCATAAAAGTAAGTAATGGAAACCTATCCCTGGGACTGAGTTACCAGGAAAATCGCTAAAGTAGCAAGGAACCGAAGTACTCAACTTGCCCTTACTGTCAAGGCCACATTCACCAAATAGTTAATATCCTTATATTCCCCAAAGACACAGACTTCCAGAAAGATCAGTGGTTGTCCATAAAAAAAAAAATATGTGAACTACAATTTATGGTGAGCCTTCTTTTTTATACTAGTTGACTTCAGAATGGGCTTACTTTATGGTTCAACTGGTAATCCGCCTGCAATGCGGGAGACCTGGCCTCAGTCCCTGGGTTGGGAAGATCCCCTGGAGAAGGGAAAGGCTACCCACTGGCCTGGAGAATTCCATGGACTGTATAGTCCATGGTGTTGCAAAGAGCTGGACACGACTGAGTGATTTTCACCGACTTCAGAATTAGGATAAAAATAAACTCCAGGAAAAGTCAATCTCAGCAGTGTGTGAATGAAAGCGTTGGCATTTCATCTCTGGATGCCACACACTTTATGAACAGCCCCTAGGAAGCACTGCAGCAGAAGAGGAGACACGTCTTCAATTCAGTTTTAGCATGATTGCCACAGTTAACAAACTGGGGTGAAAAGATCATCTATGAGTTTTGTTATATGATGCACGGAAGTTATACTCTTATAAGTACAATATTTATTCAAGTGTGTTTCATATTTGAATACAATGATTTGAGTTAGCGATCAGTGTGATAATGTAGAAGAATAACTACAATGTCTACTGGATTTTGATCTATCCAGTGAATTTACACAAACATATTATTTAAAACCTATGCTTTATGATAAGTTCCCAATGTGTAATAGTATGTTATTAGTATACTCATTCATAAGAGGAAAATTTTAACATCTTTAACTGATACGTGCTCAATTACTTTCCATTCTAAAAATGAGATGACACATATGCATTTTATTTTAGTGACTAAAGGCATGAAACACAACTAGTAATATTAACAGGATATGATATAGAAAATTAGGAGTATAAGCCCAATTACACAATTCTAATTCCAAAGTTTGAAAAGGAAGATATTAGGATTATAGAGTTAGTTGACTTTGTTCTTTTTTCTCCCTTTGAAACAACAAAAACTTAAAAAGTTAAGATTTTATATTCTCATAAGCTTTATGCTTAAATTTATATAAACAGATCAATGCTCTAATTCTAGAACAGAAAATTAAAGAGCTGAATTTTTAAATAGTATAATTAAAAAGGGAACAGTTGTATTAAGTACCTTGCTCAGACACACACATCACCTGTCTAAGAAATTTTGAGACAATCAATCATTAAGGTTTGCAGAATACCAAATGCATTTTTCTAAAGGTCACAAAGAGGCTGAGCAGAGTTTCTCCAAGGACAATCCAACTTTAGAATCTTAACTATGGAGATAAATTAAGCTGTCTGTGAGAAAGGAGAACAGAAATATGCTACCTTAAGATGTAAAGAGAAAGGTCAATGGAAAGTCTGATGAGTGTTAAAAATGTAATACAGAACAAAAAATAATATACTGTATAAAGAAACGATAAGCATGAGACAAGTGCTCGGGGCTGGTGCACTGGGAAGGCCCAGAGGGATGGGATGGGGAGGGAGGCGGGAGGGGGGATCGGGATGGGGAACACATGTAAATCCATGGCTGATTCATGGCAATGTATGGCAAAAACCACTGCAATATTGTAAAGTAATTAGTCTCCAACTAATAAAAATAAATGGAAAAAAAAATAAAGAAATGATAAGGAGAAAATTCAGGTATATTAGCAATTTAAAATCTCTTCAAAAATGAACTATTTACTTATTCTTTATGTCCTTTATCAAAATAATTAATTTTTTATAAAGGAGTACTAGTATAGTTTTTGCTTTATTTTAAAAAATTCTTTAAGCTGGCTGGCTACATAAACACATTATAAAATTTGAGCTAAATAATTTTAGCCTTTATTAACATCACTCTATTATAGTGTTGCTAAAAAAAAAACTGGGACTATTTTTGAGCAGTTTACTAATTTTATATCCTAGAACAGTTGTACGTTCAATCTTGAGTATACAGGGGAAAACATAACCAATATAAAAATAATTGTGAAAGCAAAATCAGTATGTGTTATGTTTTAAAGAGTGTTATAGAATGTTTAACAGCTTGCACTGTTGAAGATTCAAGATTTATTCCTAAAGTAGGGACAATATAAAGCAAGCACTTTCAAGAACATTCAGAAGAAAGTTGCTAAGAACAGTACTGATTTAACAACAAAAGATTGGTCTTACATATATTACCCAGCACCATTACTTTCTCTGTTAAAACAACCAAAACTAAAGAAATCAAATGCAATGCTATTTATTTTTTGTTGATTTTCACAGGTGATCCTTTGATGTTGAGTTTGTCCACAAAAACATTTGATCTTCTTCCATGTTCAATGGCTGGATTTTGATGATGTTTCTCCCTAGGAAATATACATATGAACATTAATATCATTTTTAAGTGGTCATAAAACATCAACACAAACTTGATAAAGGCCACTGTAATTTAAGGTGAGTTTTATCTTAAGAGTTCTGTAATAGCTTTGAAAAACATATGGCAGACAATTTCACTCAACATTTAAGAGAGCAACAGCTGCTTCTCTGAGACATATTTAACTGTTTACCTTTGAACCATGCTATCCAACATTGTAGCCACTAGCCACATCGTTTACATTTAAATCAATTAAAATAACATGGAATTTCAAAATTCAGTTCCTTGGCTCTATCACTGACATTTCAAGTGTGATTCAACAGCCACATGTGGATAGTGGCTACCATATAGACAGTGCAGATGTATAACGTTTTCATCACTGCAAAAACTCATTTCAGAAAGTTCAGCTAGACAATGCTGGTTTACAGAAAATGCCACTGACAGGGTTATAGATTTCTAAACCATCTATAAGGAGCATGCTTTTCTCTAGCTGGGACCTGAATCTCACAGTCAAACTTAGGTTTGATTATAGCACTGTTAGGTTTTTATCAATAAACTTCTCAAAGTGAGACAATTATGGTTTACAATTAATAGGGGAGCAAGTTTTCTATGGAAAACATTAGGGCTCTAAATTCCTAGACAAGTATTTTAAAATAAAAGATAGCTGGCACACAACATTCTGCACAAGGCTTCCGGTTTCCTCGGTACCCACTTGTTGCTCGCTGGTTCTGGGCAGCCTTCCACCTTCTGCAGCGATCCTCCACTCTTATAGCCTAGAACAGATTTCTGTTTTGAGGCCTGGGGAGGCCTCTCTCTCTCTCTCTCTCTCTCTCTCTCTCAAATCTTATGTCAACAGGAATTAGGTAGTGTTTTCAATTTTCCCCCAGAGAACCAAATTAAATTGTAACTCTAGAATACACACTAAATGTGTCCAAGTCTCATCTTTAAAGTTGGTTTTAGCACATTTGTACTTCACATCTATTCCAAAAGGTAATTCCAAATGAGGCTACAGTTTTTGCAAAATTCTTCCAAAATATCTAATACAGATATTGTAACATACTATTTAATATATAAGTATCTAAAAACATGTTTGCCATTAAATGCTCAATTTTGACTTGTTAGGAAATTTTGTTCAGCCTTTTAGCTCTCCCCTTACCATATCCCTAAATGCCGGTATCTTTACCTAGTACAACACCGGTAGCTTTACCTAGTACAAAATGTACAGCTCCTACTCTCTCCCGATGAGACTCTGTTGCATAAGAATAACTGCATTATAGTATATCACTTTTCCTCAGGAGGATTTTAGTCCCACTGTCTAAAGCATAATTTGCTAGCGAGTTACTAGTCATACAATCCTAAAATATTGGGTTTCAGGTACAAATTTCAATTTGTGTTAGAATACTCAGATGTAATTTAAAATTATTACATCTTTCACAAAACATTGATACAAACCACCTGGACATCAATCAAAACTTCCTGAAAACAGAGGTAAAATTACATAACTTTCCTTCTAATTTGTCTTTAAAAAACGCAATTTAATTAGAAATAACTTTTACCTTCTTTTAAGTTCTCGGGATCCTGAATGCTCATGACCAACACTTCGCATCCTAGAGTTATCTAGATTGCGCCATTGTCCCCTTGGCTGGTACTTCAGAATTTCATTTTGCCACTCATCATCAAAAGCATGAGCATCACCTATGTTAAATATCAAAATAAAAGGGTAAGTACTAAGGTATCAACTGTCAGTAACTGCTTTGCTCCTCACACGTTCCCTGGTGTTTTCCATTGGCCTAACCTTAGAGATAGGAAACTGCTTCAAATATAAAGGTCTTTGACTCAGAGAGATATTTCCTTTTGTATTTGTTACTCTCCTATTCCTGCTGGTAATTTGGTTACTGATGAGCTGTTTTTTCACACAGCTGCCTGGATATCATGTTATTCTATCCCTGGACCCCATGACCCAGAGACACTGACTTACAGTCTTTCTTTCTTCCTGGGTCATCTCACAGAGGTCCCACTTTTCCGCTGTACTTGGAGGACACTCCTCCTGGGACTAGCACTTTCTATTACTCTCACAATTTCACTACGTAATCTGGCCTCACAAGTTTCTGCTTCAGTTTCCTAAGATAGGTTAGTCATCTGCCAGTTTATGTTGCTATGAACTAGGTAATCTAAATTCTATAATAACTATAAGTAAATGACAATACTTGTTCTTTCAGATTGCCTGTACCACAATGTTACTTTGCCAAAATTTTCTTCAATATGTTAATTATTGTGAAGTATTCTGTATATATTTAAATATGACCTAATTGCAAAGGTTAAAATTAAAGAAAGGTGAAGACGTTGTGGCTTTCATCTCATTGCATAATAATAATTTTTTCCAATTCCAACCTTAAGAGAATTTCTTTTTCTAAAATGAAACAATAATTAAAACTCTTTACTATGATAAAACATTTTTATTCAAAATATTTTCTAAAAACAGGAAATGAATATAACTTAAAAACTATAATGAGAAGAGTTAGGACACTAGAAAGAATTGAATGCATTAAAGAATTAGTAGAAAATTTAAGAAATGGAAAAGATGAGCTTGATCCATATATATTATCTAACAATATCAGATATCTAAATCTTACCTATACAAAGGCCTGAGTGCCCAACAATACAGAATAGTTTAAGTAAATTATGGCCAATTCATGGTAAAAGTCTTAGGTAACCATTTAGAATGTTTTTGAAAAAGTAACATCATAGGTGGCTGTTCAAAATTATAGTTGGGAATTAAAATAAGCACAATATAAACTATATAGATGGTAAAATACTAATTTTGAAAAAGAAAAGCATGTGTTTATATGTTTATATATACATAAAACTATTAGGAATATATATACTAAAACATTAATACTAGTGTTTTGGGTTGGAATTATGGGTGATTTTATTTTCTTTCTTTGTACTTTTCTATGCTTTTCAAATATACTTCTTTGATAACCACAAATATATAAAAACTAATTTTTACTAATGACAGCTTTACTAAAAAACAAAAGATTCCATTTTCCAAGTATAAAACAAAAAATAAATGGTACTCAACATTAAAAAATCACTATGAAAAAACAGATCTACAATGAAACTACAATTTTATTACTATGTTGATAATGTATTGCCTACATATACAATTCATAAAACTGCCTGAAAGAACATCATATAAAATGTTTCTATTAAAAACATTCTCACCAAGTCCTACTGGTACAGCTGCTATTTTAACTTTGAGAGGAAGAATGCCACTTTTTCTGATAACTTACATTCATTCATATTGATGAACTCTTGATTGACCTCTTCATCTCCAGTCTTGTTGTTCTTTGACTTTTTAATGACATGAGCTCGGTCATGGAGGTGATGACCAACAGCCATTTTTTCTAGTCCACTGTCAGAATCTCTTAATGCTTTCCTGGTTTCCTTTATCTGTGAAAATGAAGAAAATAAAAATTAGTTTTTATTTATATAAATATAGAATATAAACTCCTCAGAACCTACTTGCCTATACAGGTAAGAACATAAATCTATTGCTCTAAAAATAATGGATACTTAGTTCCATTACCAACTGGTAGTAAAATTATGGTAATAATTCTCTGATGTTTCCTGACCTGCTTAAAATTAAAATGCCTAGGACAAACAGAACCAGTATAATTATTAAAAAAAAAAAAAGAATACATGTAAGGGCAACTAATTATTCAGCAGTCATGAAATGACTTAAATATTTTCATTTAAGTCACCCATTAGACAGGCAACCCCTAATTTTCTTTACTATAAGTACTAACAAATAAATGGAGAAGTGGCAACTCTCAAACCAAAATCTGTAGGAGTCTACTGTTTCAATCCCTACATGATAGTAAGTTGGTAATTTCTAGGTAAGAATGAGGACACACACCTCCTCCAATCCAATAATAGTATTCCTAGCCCTTTTTGCACAAGGAGACAGCTATGAAGATCAATAAGTGAAAAATTATCAACAGCTATATATCTATCATTAGAAAAGGAGATTTTAAAACTGTGGTATATTCATATTTTGGACATTATATAGAAGTTAAAATAAAGAAACCAGAGCTACACATATCAACTTGAACAAATTTCAGAAGCAATTACTGAGCAAAGTCTAGCTGCAGAACAAAGTCACACATGCTAGGAAACCATTTATACAAAGCTTAGAGGCCTGTAAAATGATCCACTATATTGTATATGGAGCATACATAAGTAATGAAATCATAAAAGCATGCATAAAAATGATAAGTTCCAGGTACAGGCATACCTCAGAGATAGTGCAGGATCCATTCTGGACCTCTGCAATGAAGGAAATAGTGCAATAAAACATGTCACATGAATTTCTGGTTTTCCGGGGCATGTAAAAGTAATGTTTATCCTATTCTGTTGTTACTAAGTTTGCAGTGGCATTATGTCTAAGAAGGCAATGTACACACCATAATATAAAAACAGTTTATTGCTAAAAATCGCTAATTATCACCTGACAGCACAGGATTGCCACAAACCTTCAGTTTGCAAAAAATGCAACTTATCTGTGAAGTGCAGTAAAGCGAAGGCCAGTAAAATGAGGTATGCCTGTATAAGAAAACAGTTCTCTTTGGGGAGGGAGAAAGGGAAAAGGGACCAAAGAGGGAGGAGCATATTGGAAATTTTAACTGCATTTTTGCTTAAAAAGAAAACAGAAGACAACTTAAATAGAGAAAAGCATTATGAGTTCACTAAACTGGATTAAAGAAATATGGGGTATTTATATTATTCTCTATGTCCTGTCTGTACACTTGAAATATTTTATGAGTTAAAAAATTCATTTACTTTGAATATAAACTAACTGTAGACATTTATTTCATGAAATAAAGACTTTAGTGTCTACTTCCCTTGTCAACATGTAAAGGTAAGAAAACATCAATAGACACTGAAGATAAGAAAGGCACCTGGGGGCACAAATGGAGGTAGGTGGGGGAGCAAGTGAGGGAAAGTGAAAGTCGCTCACGCTCTTTGCGACCCCCTGGACTATACAGTCCATAGAATTCTCCAGGCCAGAATACTGGAGCGGGTGGCCTTTATATTACGGTGAGTACACTGCTTTTTTAGGCATAATGGTATTGCAAACTTAACAACAGAATAAATGTTACTTTTATATGCACTGGAAAACCAGAAATTCATGTGACCTATTTTATTGCACTGTTCCCTTCACTGCAGAGGTCCAGAATGGATCCTGCACTCTCTCTCCCACTACCAGTAGAGGAGACAAAGAATGCCTTAAAATAAACAACTACAAAATAAATAAATAAATAAATATACTACAGTCAACTTTATTGCTTTTTCACACTTTGCGTTTTCTTCTTCTCCTCTTTTCCGCACCAGCACCAGGTCAAATTCTAATAGCTAAAGTTTGATACAGGTGATCTATCATTCATAACTTTATAAAGTTCCAAGAAAGTACTTACTCCCCCTGGAGCCCGACGGGTTTGTGTTGAAGCCTGGAAAACCTTTGGTGGTTCATCTCCTACTTTGGAATAAGTCATCACAGAGGAAGAACTAAATGAATGTCCATTTGGATCCATTGAAAGGTGACCCTGGAGATAAATATAGATTGTATATCCAGTGAGTTCAGTCAAATATGAAGAACTAATGTCAGAAGATTCAAATAAGCAACAACACTAGCTGTAAGTTCTAGTAAAGATAGTGTATATGATCAGTATGATGTATCCAAATGGTACCCTCATGAAGGCCCTAACCGCCTCCCATTTTAGGTACCAATTCACACTCCTCTCATAAGGAATAATGAATAACTAGTGATTCACTTAGAATTCCTCAAATCTTTGAGGTCAAAGACTTCAAGGCTTACATTTATAGACGTTACGTCCTGAAGCATGTGATACTTTTATAGTCAGTGGTTAACTTTTGTGAGCAATTTTGCCATTGTTGAGCCATTTAACCATATGCCAAGAAGTTTTATACCTTCTGTGGGTACCAATGCTACACTTCTAATGTCCAAGATTTGGACATTATGAGATGATCCTTAGATTTCAAACTGGATGACCAAATTAATATGGTTGGTCTTCATACTGAATCAAGTTATTATTTTGATTATGATTAATGTTATGAGTGGAAAAGTAAGATTAGTACTAGTTTATAAGTATTCAGACTATATGACTCTAATCCAGTTTCTAAATATCATTCTTAAAATTTCTATTTTGAATTATTTTTAAACACTAAAACTTAATAACTTAGATGCTATAATTTTTTTAAGTAGACAAGTTATACATAATAAAAAATCTAAATTCATATAAAATGTTCATTTACAATAATGACCTTCACCAGAATAAATATTTTTGAGGTTGAATTTTTTATTTTGGAAATTTAAGTAATGCTATTTATCAAACTTGTAGATTATGAGATCATTTTGATAGGTTGTGATCAGGAGTTTTAAAATATGAAATAAATAGAAAATATCAATAGACTGTAAACAGCATGATCTTTTTCTCATGAAACTTTCATTTCAGGTGTACAATATATACAGTACACAAGTAGGGTCATGATGTAAGATATATTTTTTAGTTTCTGGGAACTATGGTTAGAAAATGGTTGAAAGCCACTATAATACAGGGTGCCAATAATGGAAAACAACATTCTCATCCATCTTTTAGTACTTACAAAGTTTCTTTGTAATTCCTGCATACTGTTTCGCATATTTAACATCATTCGGTCCATTGCCTGAAAAGGGTTGACATCTGTATGCTACAGGACATTAGGAAGTATGTTATTAACTATAAATACAACATGAAAGAAGCAAATCCACCTTCCCCAAACAGCTGAATTTCTTTTTTCCTTGACTTTTGTTGTGGGATCTCATGCAGTGATTAACCAAGCAAAGATAATGTAAGGACTATACAATGGAAGCAATTTGTTAAAAGAAAAATTTGAAGCATACACACAATCCTAGACAGCCAGCATATAAACGGTTAGGAAGCTGTAACACTATAAACACATGCATACATACATGTGTATATATCCACATGAATATACATGCAAGAACAGATAAACATACACATCATTCAACTTGCTCAAAACATAATTTGGTTGTTATTTAAATACTGAGTGGTATATTCTGGGCTAGCACAGCTTTCGCATAGACCAGTCTTCAAATTTTTCCTTCTTACCTCTGTATATCCCACAAGACAAAAAAATAAAACCTGAGTGTAAGATAACAGTGTCATCTCCAGCAGGACCACGTGGCTGACAGAAGCTGACTCTGGAGAAGCCAGCCCTCCTTTCCATCAGCGTTAGCGATAGTTGCTCAGTCGTGTCCAACTCTGCAACCCCATGGACTGTAGCCCGCCAGGCTCCTCCATCCATGGGATTTCCCAGGCAAGAGTACTGGAGTGGGCTGCCCTTTCCTTCTCCAGGGGATCCTCCCATCCCGGGGATCACACCCGGGGCTTCCGCACTGCAGGCAGACTCTTTACAGTCTGAGACACCAGGGGAGCCTTTCCGTCAGAGCTGGCGCCGAGTGACGGAGGGTGACTCATTCCACTAGCAGGTCCGGGAATTGCTGCCTATCACTGATGGCTCGATAGAGCATCCCCTTGAAGCGTGAGGTGTGCTCCTCTCCAAGAACAGTTAAAATTCCTCTGGAACAGTGGTTTCTTAGCCAAGAGTGGTTGGTACCCCAGGGGGACATTTTTCAATAATTACTCTCATGTTTGTTTGTCACCGCTGGGGAGGGCGTATGCCTGGCATCCAGTGACAGAGGCAGGGATTCTGTTAGACATCCTACAAAGCACGAGAATGTAGGACAGCTCCCCACAACAAGTTATCCGGCCCAACATGAAAGTAGCAGCATCGAGGCAGAGAAACACTGCTCTAGAAAAATCTCCTATTGATTTTAGGTTTTATCACTGGAACGATCACCAGGAATCAAAAAGTTAAGCACACATTCTCGCGTGTGAGCCAAAGCATCGTCTGCCGTTAGAAGCAGCTTCTGGTCCCAGGACTCCCCGCTCAAGCAGGAAGAGTCTTTTGACTCCTACATGTAAGGTGTTGTTAAGCAGTGCGGGTATTTCTGCCCTTCTGGAGGTTCTTTTGCCTTGTACCCTTCCAGGACTCAGTAAAGAACTATCAAAGGTCGGTTTACATCTCTGCCTTCTATTGGGTTTTTAATGCTAATGGCAACCCACTCCAGTAGTCTTGCCTGGAGAATTCCATGGACTGAGGCTACAGTCCATGGGGGTGCAAAGAGCTGGACACAACTGAGTGGCTGACACGCTCACACACAACAGGAAATAGAAAAATCAAGTTCCTCTTCAGAGTCTGCACTGACCATTGTGGGCCTCCCCCGTGGCTCAGGGACAAAGACTCTGTCTGCGATGCCGGAGACCCAGGTTCAATCCTGGCTTGGGAAGATCCCCTGGAGAAGGGAATGCAACCCACTCCAGTGTTCTCCTGGAGAGCCCCGTGGACAGAAGAGCCTGGTGGGCTACAGCCCGCGGCACTGCAAAGAGCTGGATGCACCTGAGTGACGGTCACATCACTTCACGTCTAACCACAGTACAGAGCAACAAAGACACGCTTAGGAAATATGATACATCTTTCCTGATAACTCAGCTGACAAAGAATCCTGCAATGCAGGAGACCCCGGTCCCATCCTGGGTCGGGAAGATCCGCTGGAGAAGGGATAGGCTGCCCGCTCCCGTATTCTTGGGCTTCCCCGGTGGCTCAGTTTGAAAAGAATCTGCCTGCAATGCAGGAGACCCTGGTTTGATCCCTGGGCTGGGAAGATCCCCTGGAGAAGGGAAAGGCTACCCACTCCAGTGTTCTGGCCTGGAGAATTCCATGAGCTGTATAGTCCATGGGGTCGCAAAGAGTTGGACATGACTGAGCAACTTTCACACTTAGGATGCAAAGGACAGCAACAGAATTAATCTGCATTTCAGAGATTCAACACAGTTCTGGAAATATTGTGAACTGTTTGTTTCAGCGTTACATTGAGAATCAACACTGTTTAAGAGATAATTCAAGAGAGACTAAAGAGCTAGCCTAAGGAAAGTGAGGGGGAAAAAAATCACATGTTTTGGGTAAATTTTGTCTCCTCTCAATTCACTGTCAGCCATTAATGTGTCTGCACCTGCTATGGGGGTGGCCCAGCACCTTGACAAAGGGGGGTACAAATCAGAGCTGAGATCCCAGTGGGCTTCAGAACCCTTCAGGAACTTTGTACAGCGGCTCTTCTCTCTGCCTGGAATGTTCTCTCCTGACTCAGTATAGTTAGCTTCTTCTCATCATTCAAGTATCACCTCCTTAGAAGGGTTACCTGTCTAATCTCTGCTCCACCTGAACCTGTCCCTGGATCATGTGCCCATTTCGTCTCCTTCAAAGCACTTAGACTATCTGAATTATTTTGTTCTTTATTGTCTGTCCTCCTACTCTGTGCCAATAACCTCTGTGAAGGCAGGGCTATCTTCTCTGTCTTACTCATCCCCATAGTCCCAATACTTTAGAAACAACTCCTGGTGCATATGAATAGTAAAGTCGCTCAGCTGTGTCCGACTCTTTGCGACCCCATGGACTGTAGCCTACCACGCTCCTCTGTCCATGGGATTTTCCAGGCAAGAGTACTGGAGTGGGTTGCCATTTCCTTCTCCAGAGGATCTTCCCGACCCAGGGATTGAACCTGGGTCTCCCGCATTGTAGGCAGACACCTTATTGTCTCAGCCGCCAGGGAAGCCCCCTGGTGCATAGGAGGGCTCAATAAATATTTGTTGAATGAATGAACTAACTATCTGTAGCTCAGTTCAAGCTCATATATCCAACTGCTTACTAGATAAATCAACCTGAACAGCCCACAGATGCCTCAACTGCAAAACACCCAGAACTGAAATGATCGTCTGAACACGCCTGCCCTCACACTGGCACTGCCTCAACGCTCTGTTCCTTAGCTCAGTGGCATTTTCATCTGCCTAATTCCTCAGGCCAGGAAAATAAGCACAAAACTTCTCTTCCCCTTCTCTACTGATCCAACAACCCAATGAATCGCCAAGTGCTATCCACTTACTTATTTAACTCTCTCAAAAGAGATTATTTCTCTTTATCACCACAGCTATCACTTGAGTAGAAGCTATCTATCACTCATACGTCTCAGAACACTTTGTCAGCCTCCTAGCCTCTCTGCCTCCACTCTGGCCCCTTCTAATATCTCTCTTCCCTGGAGGGACAATGCTTTTTCAAAACTCAGAATCTGATTCTCCTACTATTTTGACAAAAATTCATCAGTTGCTTCTCCTGCTCTTTTGTTAAAGTCCACAGTCCTTATCAGGGCCAAAAGTCCCCCCTGGTACCCTCATCACCCTTCTCTATACCTGTTCTCCAACTCACACCCTAGGGCCAATACCCAAATATCTGTGGGCTCCCTAGCCTCCTGGTCTTTACACATGCTGTTTCCTCTGTGTTGATCTCTCTTCTCCCTTGCCAGCTTTTCCTGGCTAATTCCTATTAATCCTTCAGGCTCAAGAAGTCTTCTCTAACTGACCTCCACCCCACCAACCCAAAGGTCTGGGCTACAGGCTTTTCTCTATCTGTGTGCCCACAGCACGCCGAACTTCCTGGATTACTCGACTGGTAACTCTATGCTACGGCTGTTTTTTTCCCTTCATCGCTTGTCCCACTAAAAACACTGATCAGGAAGCACAAATGTTATAAGGCAAATTTTAAGGTAAGAAATGGCTAAAGTCTAGCACAAGAGAATTCAAAAAACTTTTTCATGAGTGTATAGATGCACGCATAGAACGTGCTCCAAGATGATGATGCTATTCTCTGCTACTCCCCAGACTGCATTTAAGTGTATTAGAAATTAGCAGCAGAGAACCAGAGGACCAAAGGCTCAGAGAAAAACAGGGGTGGGAGAAGAAAGCTGGCTGCAGAGTACTTGGCCATGGGAAAGGAAAGCATGGCTGAGCTGAAAACAGAGCCCCAGAGGAGCCGTCAGGCTGAGCTGCTCCGGATGTGCTTGGCTGTCCTCAGTTTGGTGTTTTTTCACTTTCTGAGAAGTCAGCATAAGCACGTGGAAGTCTCCAACTTTTAAACACAACTACGGGGATCCCTTTTGTAAATAAAGCGAATCGTCATCAACCAAAATGTACTTTTTCCTTTTGGAAAACTGAGTTTTTTACATTGACGTGATGTACTCCACAAAACACACGCCTAAACATTCTAAGACAATTTAACACACGAAACAAGTTTTCACTAACAAATGCTAAAAGCTGTTATGAAAGTGAGATGGCATGCCGATTCAATAGGCTTGAGTTAATGAAAAATAAAATATTGTCAGAAAATATTGCTAAAATGGCTTGTGTCTTATGATACGAACCATACCACCAAAACTGCCAAAAGGCACGAGAGAACTCATTGCCTAGAAAAAAAATCCAGTTAATTTTGGTATGATATTTATTATACAACAATCTCTGAAAAAGAAAGTAATGCACTACATAATTACATAGTTCAGAGCTAACCAAATTACAAAACCGTTTAATCAAAAAAAGCTCAATATATATATTTAAAGTTATCTGCTTATTATTCATTGTAGAGCCTTTCATGAGCCTAGAAGACAAACAAGGAGACCACATATCTCTTTTAAATAAGACTGCTCTAGTACTTATTAAGGAGAAAATAATTGCTATGGACTAAGACAAACATTTTTCAAAGAAAATGCAAATTCACACCAAAATTAATACATGAAGTATAATGATTAAGATTATATCATCTTTCTTTTGTTCAATGATTGCATATTTTAAAAAAATCATTTAATTTTGCCTGAAACCAATTAAAAATCAAAAGTATCTATATTTATAACATTTCAAAAGCTTCAAAGAGATATTGGTCAAAAAATTTAATGGATACTTCCTAAGAACTAATATAGAATAAGAAACACAGACTTCAGAAAGGATCATGCGTATAGGTTTAGAAATATTTAGTCTTTGATAGGCATAATAGATGGAATAATAAAAATAAATTTTTTAATACATGTATAACTTAAAAACTCTCATTACTTGGAAATTTCAAATGCTGAAAATAAATTGTGAGTTTCTTGGTAAAAGCTATGTACAAAATTATACCATCATTCAGTGATAATTTTCTCCCTGTGTAAGTTATGTCAAAAAACTAGAGAAAACTGTTTAAATTTTATAATAAATTAAAACAGTAATCTCCAAAGTGTATTTGTACATCAAGAAAATTCCTCATTCTGTTTCTTTAAACTGAAAGGAAAAACAGATTTTACATTGACTCTGGCACCATCTCTCAATCTGTCAGATGGTCATATGTTGTATCTTGAATTATAAACTGCCTAATGAAATAAGCTTACAGATTAAATGATCTAGTTTTAAACAAAACTGACCCCAAATGGACAACTGGCTTACAAACATCCCAATAAAGAAATCATGAACTGAAGAAAAAGCTAATAGTACAAAGAAATGGCATAGCTGATGCTTTTCCTACTTTTGTAGGAATCTCTATTTTCCCTCATAATAGGGCTGATAACGATGACAAATGGCAAGAAATGGGCAAAAAATAACTTTTTCGGTTATCAAGTGTATATTTGAAATATAAATTTTCATCCACTATGCTTAAAAGCATCAGCATGTGGCTCACTACTTAATCAAAATACTCATTTTAAAATTTATAGCTTCACAAAGAGGGAAAAAAGCTCTGTGTAAACTATTATTAAAAAGTTCAAATAGAACAGCTAGCATGTTCAAAAAGCCTGCTCTTTACTTAGCTGTGCTGTTTTCAAACTCGGCAGCTGATTTGTCCATCTTCTATAGTCAATTTCTAATTTTTACTCCTACTTTTATATGATTAGAAATGTCACATAGGGATAGAGGTCTTTTGTTGTTACTGTTGTTTGTCTGTTTTTGTTTTCTTTTAATTAATGTATTTAGTTTTGCTTTGACATAAGTCTTTCATACTGAGACATAAACATGTCAAATGTATCACACTCTAGGGGAAAAAAGGAGGGTCATATCTCAGCAGTATAACTCATTCAGAGGAAAAGAAGAGTTTTGGTTAAAAAGAAGCTGAATGTTCCTTGGAAAACCTACTGTAACCAGATGAAATTCCTATATTTAAAAATTACTTCTGCCCTTCAACTGCCCTAGGGCAGCGCTCGGCACTCTTGGTTAGCAAAGAGTTTCCATAGCTTGAACAAGAGAAAAAAAAATCACTGGTGTTAGCTTTCTAAGATATTGGTACAATATAATGCAATTGAATATAATATTATATATACCACTTAATTTTAGATGGGAGAGATAAGTAAATACTACCGAGCAGTATTTACTATATAAAATACCATGAAACTCATTTTATGAAATGGTTTGGTCTAAATCTGATATAGTAAAATCACCATTTACTTTCTATTTAATAGGTAGGTGAGGATTGCCATTTCTCTTGGGAAAATGCTGAAAGAGATTTACTATTAAATTTAAAAAAAAAAAGATGATAGGTTCACCTGTAAGTGATTAGTGTCCTTTACTCAGTGTTGATTTTTTTTTAAAAAAGCTAAAAGCTTTATACTCTCTTTGAATATTATCATATCCTTCATTAAGGTAGCCAAAAGCTACATGTGGCTATTTAAAATTAATTTTAAATAATTAGAATTAAAATTCAGTTCCTCAGTGGCACTAGGCACATTTCAAAGTCTTGATAGTCATATGTAGCTAACCATACTGGACAGGGAGGATTTAGAACATTTAAATCATCCAGAGCGTTCTATTGTATAATGCTACACACAGATTTTAGCCTACACCTATGGTTCATCATCTTCAGTTCAGTTCATTCGCTCAGTCATGTTCATCTCTGGAATCCCATGGACTGCAGCATGCCAGGCTTCCCTGTTCATCACCAACTCCTGGAGCTTGCTCAAACTCATGTCCATCGAGTCGGTGAAGCCATCCAACCATCTCATCCTCTGTCGTCCCCTTCTCCTCTCGCCTTCAGTCTTTACCAGGATCAGGGTCTTTTCCAATGAGTCAGTCCTTCACATCAAGTGGCCAAAGTATTGGAGTTTCAGTTGCAGCATCAGTCCTTCCAATGAATATTCAGGGTTGATTTCCTTTAGGATTGACTGGTTTGATCTCCTTGCAGTCCAAGGGACCTCAAAAGTCTTCTCCAACACCACAGTTCGAAAGCATCAATTCTTTGATGCTCAGCTTTCTTTATGGTCCAATTCTCACATCCATACATGACTACTGGAAAAACCACAGTCTTGACTAAACAGACTTTTGTTGGCAAAGTAATGTCTCTGCTTTGTAATATGCTGTCTAGGTTGGTCATAGCTTTTCTTCCAAGGAGCAAGCGTCTTTCAATTTCATGACTGCAGTGATTTTGGAGCCCCAAAAAACAAAGTCTCTGTTTCCATTGTTTCCCCATCTATTTGCCATGAAGTGATGGGATCAGATGCCATGATCTTAGTTTTCTAAATGTTGAGTTTTAAGCCAACTTTTTCACTCTCCTCTTCCACTTTCATCAAGAGGCTCTTTAGTTCTTCTTCACTTTCTGCCATAGGGGCAGTGTCATGTGAGTATTGGAGGTTATTGATATTTCTTGATTTCAGCTTATGCTTCATCCAGCCCAGCATTTCACATGATATACTCTGCATTTAAGTTAAATAAGCAGGGTAACAATATACAGCCTTGATGTACTCCTTTTCCTATTTGGAACCAGTCTGTTGTTCCATGTCCAGTTCTAACTGTTGCTTCCTGACCTGCATACAGGTTTCGCAGGAGGCAGGTAAGGTGGTCTGGTATTCCCATCTCTTTCAGAATTTTCCACAGTTTGTTGTGATCCACACAGTCAAAGATTTTGGTGTATTCGATAAAGCAGAAACAGATGTTTTTCTGGAACTCGCTTGCTTTTTCAATGATCCAAGGGATGTTGGCAATTTGATCCCTGGTTCCTCTGCCTTTTCTAAATCCAGGTTGAACATCTGGAAGTTCTTGGTTCACGTACTGTTGAAGCCTGGCTTGGAGAATTTTGAGCATTATTTGCTAGCGAGTGAGATGAGTGCAATTGTGCAGTATTTTGAACATTCTTTGGCATTGCCTTTCTTTGGGACTGAAGTAAAAACTGACCTTTTCCAGTCCTGTGGCCACTGCTGAGTTTTCCAAATTTGCTGGACTATTGAGTGCAGCACTTTCACAACATCATCTGTTAGGATTTGAAATAGCTCAGCTGGAATTCTATCACCTCCACTAGCTTTGTTTGTAGTGATGCTTCCTAAGGCCCACTTGATTTCACACTTCAGGATGTTTGGCTCTGGGTGAGTGATCACACAATCGGTATTATCTGGGTCATGAAGATCTTTTTTGTACAGTTCTTCTGTGTATTCTTGCCACCTCTTCTTAATATCTTCTGCTTCTGTTAGGTCCATGGTATGGACCTTTCTGTCCTTTAGTGTGTCCATCTTTGCATGAAATGTCCCCTTGTTAACTCTGATTTTCTTGAAAAGATCTCCAGTCTCCCATTCTATTGTTTTCCTCTATTTCTTTGCATTCATCACTGAGGAAGGCTTTCTTATCTCTCCGTGCTATTCTTTGGAACTCTGCATTCTCATGGGTATATCTTTTCTTTTCTCCTTTGCTTTTCACTTCTCTTCTTTTCTCGGCTATTTGTAAGGCCTCCTCAGACAGCCATTTTGCCTTTCTTTTTCTTGGGGATGGTCTTGATCACTGCCTCCTGTACAATGTCACGAATCTCTGTCCATAGTTCTTTAGGCACTCTATCAGATCTAACCCCTTGAATCTATTTTCACTTGCACTGTATAATTGTAAGGGATTTGATTAATAATAAGGGAGATGATTTCATCATCTTAGACAAAAGTTAATTTATGCCACTAGAAACTGGACTCGGTAGCAACTATTTTAGTTTTTCATTCAAATACTGGTCTTGGCCTTCTTTGTATTCAGAATTGTTTTCTTACTTAACTTTCCTTATTTAATCATCACATTTATGCAACCATACTAATTCAGCTGTGTGGGCTTTTTGGTTTCTCAAAACTTGATTTTAAGCCGCACTGGCAATACAAATATGAGGCAAGCTAAAATACAAATTGTTCTAAATTATAAATCAGATTAACTACAGTTTCAAATAAATTTATCTTTCTCTTGGTTATATATTTCTTATTCCAGCTCATTAAACATTCAGATTTTTAAGCACAGGTACTCAGGAAAAAAACATTTCTTCTTCTCATGGATAACCAGCAGAGTTACAGCTTAGGCATCCTCACTAAGAACTTAACAGCTGGATTATAAACAGATCTCCTCTCTGTGGTAACAAGGGAATAAAATCGTCACCTCCCACTTTTTGCACAAAGGCTACAAGCAGCTCATTTATGCATGCAAATATTAACACAAAGCACTATGTACAGCCCTACTCCTTCTTTGCTATGGTTATAACAGATATATAAAATACTTCAGTGCTCATGTGAAAGATAAAATTTCAGAATGTCATATTTGATTTTTCTGCTCTCTTTGACAGTTCTTTCCTTTGGGCTTAATTTTAGACTTTTATGGAAATTTATAGCCCTAAAACTAAAAAATAAACATAATGACCACATTAACAAATTTAAAAATAATTGGAATGAAACTAATATATATATTGGAATAATGTGTATGTGAAAAAGAATATGAAGATTGCTTTCATTTAAATGGCAAATGTAATTTTATCCATCAAACTTCTTAGGAGTATTTGAAACATTTTGCCCTATTTAACAACAAGATTATAGCAAATAGAAAATATAAAAGTCCTGGAAGTTTCCCAATTGACCACTTCAAAATGTTTATTGAGAGTAGCATGCGAACATATCCATTACCATATGTGAAACAGATAGCCAGTGGGGATGTGCTGTATGACCCGGGACCTCAATTTGGGCTCTGACAACCTAGAGCGGGTGGGATGGGGTGGGGAGAGGGAGACAGCACCACGAGGGAGGGGATGACATAGGTATACCTGTGGCTGATTCATGTTGATGGATGGCAGAAACCAACACAATATTATAAGGCAATTATCCTTCAATTAAAAGAAATACGTTAAAAAATGTTTACTGAGGTCCAAAGCTCTACATTTGAACTGTAGATTTATTTTTTAGAAACTCCTGTGGATTTGTTGTTCTAGAACTGCCATTCTTGAGGCTGAAAAAGTAACACAAATAAGCAGAAAACAGCTAAGGTATATAAATATCCTGAGTTTTTTGTTGTTTGTTTGTTTGTAACCTTTTAATTTTGCTCTCAGACAAGACTTGTGAATATTTACTCTAGTTCTACAAGTCTTTTAAATAACTTTTAAAAGTTAATCTAAGTTTTGAAGGTCCAAGGTAGCCAAGGAGTAGATTGGGTTTTCCTGGTCCAGTAGATAAAAAGAATTATACTACAGTTTTGGATGCTATTTTAAAGCAAGAAAAAAAGTGTTGCATGCAAGGATATTTCCATGCCTGTCCTAATTTAAGACATGGGAGTAAATGAAAAGGTGAGAAAAACCTTATCATGGTTTTTCTTCCTTCCATGGTTCCCACGGAAAACAATGTCTTAAGTTTGGCTTATAACATATAACCCTACGGTGCTAAAAGTTTTGGTATCACAGTGCAATTCTATACAGTTAACACTTCATTGTCAAAGAATTCTGCTTTTCAACCGGTCCTTCCCCGTGTATAAGGGTTATTTCTATAACATTAATCCTATCCTACTATCAGAGAGAAACTCTTCTGTAATACTTTTCTTCACTATCTTTAAACTAAAGAACTTACAGTCAAGGAATTTCCTTCATCCTCACGTCCCATACGGTTACGAGCTCCTCCTCTCCTATCAGAGATGCTGAGCATGTCTCTTCCAAAAGGTTCAGGAAAACTTCTCATCATCTGTCGCATACTTTCTCGGTGTGCGATGAAAGAATCACTATTGAAAATACATGCAATCATGTAAGTGTAAATGTTGAAATTTAATAAGTAGGCAGCTTAATACTGCAAAGAATGATCTGGGGCTAATATACTTGTTAAAGAGACAAAAGGAGTTAAAAAAGCATTTTTGAAAATGCAAAGCACTTTGATACTTTATAAAGTAAGGTCGTAATTGCTGGATATTAGATGTTATTACATCTTAAAATGAGAGTTTTCTCACTTTTAAAAGTCTTACAGTGCATGTGTAAATATGGAAAATTGAAATGGGGGGAAACTTCTATAATTAAATCCAATGTAAATGTTCAGTTCAGACTGTATAAATGTGTTTTTTTTTCCATAATAGTAATAAAGCTTATTTTTTGGCAACTCTCACTCAAATGTAAAATAAAGTACACCAATATATTTCTGTGTGGAGAAGGAAATGGCAATCCACTCCAGTATTCTTGCTGGATAATCCCACTGACAGAGGAGCTTGGTGGGCTCCAGTCCATGGTGTTGCAAAGAGTCGGACACAGCTGAGTACTAATTTATCTTTGTGAAAACCCTAAAGCTTGTCAGATTTTGGTATTCATGGTAAGATGTTACTAAGTTTTGTTTCAATAAATACATTTCCTAACTGTTTTTAGTAAAGTATCAGTTTTAATTATATGCTAAGACAGAACTGTGCTCCAAAAATATGTAGTTCTGAAGTCTTATTGCCTTAATTCAACTTGAACATAATTTCTGAAAATTGAATGTAGAAATCTGTTATGTAGAATGTTTCAAATGATTATATCAATTTTACTATAAATGGTGTAAAGGTGAGTGTCTTTAACTCGTCTAAAGGATTTCCAGCAATTATAATCTATTCTCAACAAATAAATCTAATAGGAGGGCTGTTTATGAGAGTGTTTCCTGACCGTTTTGTTTCTTCAGATCTGTTTATTCCTGTGCAGTATCAATTGTTCTAAAGGAAGCTGGTTAAGTAGAAAAAGAAATATATTTACAAATGATAAATAGCAGCTTCTCTGCACACCTGACCAACACAATAACTTTTAACCACCTCTGCAGTAGGACTAGTGCTAGTCTGGATGATAGATCCATGTACTAAAAAACTAACAAGTCAGTAATCTTACTTCTTCATTTGCTCTCTTGCTGTCCTTCTCTTGTCCTTTATATACTCATCCACTTGGGGACATTTCCCTACTTTTCAGCCTCCCTCCTGCTGACAAATTTCAAAGTCATCAAAGAAAAGGGCTCCCCAGTGTGTGCAGGCTGAGTATGCTCTTAGCGCAGCCGAACATAAAAATTTCAGCAGGAGTCCAAAAATTAAGCTACTCTCAACCAAATTAGTAACGTTCAGTATTTAACTACAGAAATATGTTTGCCCTAAATTCACTTAGGAAATATAATAAAATGAAGACACTACAGCATTTAGGTTTTTTTTAGAGATTATTCATATTTCATTCTTTCTAGCTAAAAGCAGACTCTAATATATTTAGGAATGATCAAGGAAAAGTATTACACATACAATGCAGAAAAATGCCATAAATAAGATTATCCTCCCATGAATTCTTGTAGGATAAAGTTTTGTATCTGTCTTACTGATAGGAGTGATGGGCATGGGAAATGTAACAGATTACTGTTCTTAGATTTGCCACCTGTTAAAAAGTTTGATAATCACTATTTCAGCAGAATTATAGGCAACTGGCACTATGAGGAAGTTGTGACAATTTAAAAATTTAATAGATCAATGGCACCCAGGGAGACTAGTGGGCAGAAAGAGAGTTGCTTTATGCTTTCCCAAATAAAGACCTAAAGTCCAAAAGTTACTTTACAATTAAGGAATCAGAAATTGGTGTATGTTATCTTCCCAGTTTTTACTTAAAGGTACAGAGTTTCAAGTAGTTCTGAGACCAATAAGTGAGTTGTCTAAGAAATAATTCCTAGTTTTTATCTCAAAACCAGATTATTTTGAAGTGTTTCATATCCAGATGATACTCAATGCCAAGTGATAGCAAGAAACTGGAATTATTGTTAATCTTGTTAGATGTAAATATGGCATTTTGGTGATGAAAGTATTTTTCAGAGATGTATTTGGAAATACATATGAGTGAAATACCTGAACTCTGGAATTTGTTTTAAAACACTTTAAAGACAGCAGCAGCAATAGAGATGGGTAAAGCAGGTGTATGTTGTGAAATTCTGATTAAGGGGTATACCCAGTACTATACCCTTACACTTCTGTAATATACATTCAAAGTGTGTCATGATACAAATCTTTAAAGAATAAGAAAGAAATAGAACTATGTGGAATTAAACAATCTTATACTACTTGATGTTTCAAAATGGATGATTCAAAAGAGTCTCCTTTTGCTGAGATCTCTATACTCTGTGGACATTCAGAGTTTAGGATATGGGTACAAGGATGGGGATATTAAACTATTCATTCTTATTAAAATGCAGATACTTAAAAAAACACTCAGCGTTCCCTTCAGATACATGGATGAGATTCAAATTCAACAAGGAAAGATATTTCAGGGAATACTAGTTTTGGTCAGTAAATAGATGAGAATTAAACAACTATTACTTTGCTATAGAAACATAACATTTAATAAGATTTATTTTTCTAATCAGGCTAAAAATTCAACACTAAATGTGCTCATTAAAAATGGTGTCCAGGTTTCTCTTTATTCAAATAGGAGTAGGTATATTTGTACATAGAACAAATGTCAAAAAACATCTTTTTCTTTTTGTTGACACACAGAAAAAGGCTGCTTAAAAAAATGGGCTCACAGTCTGGCTTTTGCACCTGTCTGGACCATTCAGGAAGAAATCTAGCTGGATCCTGAAGTGAGTTCAACTTATGTTCACCCAAAACAGCAGGTGCTTAGAATAAGACTTTCAAGATTTCTCCTGCTCAAGCTTGAATTTTTTTTTTTAACAAAGGGTAAATCTCTAATGGAAACAAGGAGTTGTTTTAAAACTTTAAAAATTAACTTTGTATTGTTTTCTTTCTCAGGTAAGAAGAGTTTTTACTTCTTTCTACTTATTCATATTGTTCTCTTGAAAATTAATGTTTTCATTCTTCTAGGAAAATATACTGGAAATATGATGACACTTTGCAAAGCTATTAATAGGAACAGGTCATATCATGTATATAAACTAATAATTTGAAATATGATTAAATATTTATATGAAAAATATTCTTTGCATACCTGTTAAGTTAGTGAAGTGTGAAAGTTGCTCAGTTGTGTCTGATTCTTCACAACCCCATGGACTATACAGTCCATGGAATTCTCCAGGCCAGAATACTGGAGTGGGTAGCCATTCCCTTCTCTAGGGGATCTTCCCAACCCAGGAATCAAACCCAGGTCTCCCGCATTGCAGGCAGACTCTTTATAAGCTGAGCCACCAGGGAAGCCCTTGCATATTTACAGGATGCAATATTTTGCAGACACTAAATTCAAGCTTGAAAGAATATCTAAAGACTAGGAAAATGCTTATGGTATATATTAAGGAAAATAATTTATTTATAACCATAAAATTTGGTTCTAATTTTGAAGAAAAAAATCCATATATGGAAAATAGAAACAAAATAATGGCAGTAACCAAAATCAAAAAGACACTTTAACGACGCTTGCTCCTTGGAAGAAAAGTTATGACCAACCTAGACAGCATATTAAAAAGCAGAGACATTACTTTGCCAACAAAGGTCTGTTTAGTCAAGGGTATGGTTTTTCCAGTAGTCATGTATGGAGGTGAGAGCTGGACTATAAAGAAAGCTGAGTGCTGAAGAATTGATGCTTCTCAACTGTGGTGTTGGAGAAGACATTTGAGGTCCCTTGGACTGCAAGGAGATCAAACTAGTCCATCCTAAAGGAAATCAGTCCTGAATATTCATTGGAAGGACTCATGCTGAAGCTGAAATTCCAATATTTTGGCCACCTGTTGCGAAGAACTGACTCATTTGAAAAGACGCTGATGCTGGGAAAGATTGAAGGTGGGAGGAGAAGGGGACGACAGAGGATGAGATGGTTGGATGGCATCACCAACTCAATGGACATGAGTCTGAGTAAACTCTGGGAGTTGGTGATGGACAGGAAGGCCTGGTGTGCTGCAGTCCACGGGGTCGTAAAGAGTTGGACATGTCTGAGCGACTGAACTGACTGACTGAACCAAAATCTTGGGTTGCGTTAAGTCCCTTAATGAAATTTTCAGTATTCAGATTTTCCATGAGAATGGATTTTCATTTAAGTAAAGAAAAATTTACTTATACTATTATGATGACTATATGGCCTCTTTCAGGATTGCTGACACAAACCACAATCAAACAGAATGAAATTTGGCACCAAACATGTCCACAGAGAAAACCACAGTAAGAGCTAGAAAATAAATTGTGCTCCATGTTCCCTTGTAAAATCCATAAATAAATATGTGTATCTACATTTAAAAAAAGGTAAAGATAAGATGACTAAAAACAAACAAACCCAACTCTGCATGCCAGGAAGTGCTAGCTTTTAACCTTTGTGTTTTTAACCAAATTACAAGTATTATTTATTTGAAAAGGTGTATGCAAATATATACTGTGAGGCAATTTTCACTGAAACAACTCCAGCTCTGAAACATTTAAGGAAACCCCCAAAAGTCCCAAGCATACAATAAAACACTAAACTTTATCATTTTTAAAATTTTCTCATGAATTTAATGTGCTGTTATAGAAAGGTAAACATTAAAAACGAATATACTTGGATTCAAAACTAGATTTTGTTTTTTACTCAGAGCTCTAAAGTGTTTGACAATTTGATACCATATTTTACTAGCCTCAATTTATTTAATAATTCTAATTTTATATCCAAGAAGTATATACTTTTTGTCTGGCCACTTTTGATTAATTAAGTAAATTTGGAGAGTGTGCTTATGATTGATATCCTTGATTCCGAATTAGTGAATTATTTAGAAAATGGTAGTGCTTAAATTGGGTTTCCCAGTGGCTCAGTGGTAAAAGAATCCACCACAATGCAGGAAATGTGGGTTGGATTCCTGGGTCAGGAAGGTCCTCTGGAGAAGAAAATGACAACCCCCCAGGATTCTTGCCTGAATATCCCATGGACAGTGTTTAAATTAGAAAGTGCCAACATCAACAGTAGCACCTATTGAATGCAAATACAGATCATCCTCCACTTATGATGGGGTTGTGTGTGTACAAAGTCGCGTCAGTCGTGTCGGACTGTTTGTGACCCCGTGGACTGTAGCCTGCCAGGCTCCTCTGGTTCATGGGATTCTCCAGGCAAGGCTAGAGTGGGTTGCCATTTCCTTCTCCAGGGCATATTTCCAACCCAGGGATCCAACCCTCCTCTCTTATGTCTCCTGTGTTGGCAGGTAGTTTCTTACCACTAGCGCCACCTGGGAAGCTGTAATGGGGTTAGTTAGTTAGTTAGTTAAGTTGCTCAGTTGTGTCCGACTCTTTGTGACCCCGTCCATGGGGCCACCCCAACAGGCTCCTCCTTCCATGGGATTCTCCAGGCAAGAATACTGGAGTGGGTTGCCATTTCCTTCTCCAGGGGATCTTCCCAACCCAGGGATCGAACCCAGGTCTCCCACATTGCAGGTAGACGCTTTAACCTCTGAGCCACCAGGGAAGCCTACATCCTCATAAATCCATCAGAAGTTGAAAATAACCCTGTCGAAATGCATTTAATACACCTGAGCTATGAAACATCATAGCTTAGTCTATTGTATCTTAAACCTTAAATGTGCTCAGAACACTTATATTAGCCTGCAGTTGGGCAAAACTATCCAACACAAAGCCTATTTTGTAATATAGTATTGAATTCCTCATGTAATTTATTGAATACTGTACTAAAAGTGAAAAACCAAATGCCTGTAAGTATATGGGTTGTCCACTGTCATGATCTCGTGGCTGACGAACCTGAGGCTTGCTACCCCTGCTCCCGCGCACCTTTTCAAAGTATTGTATCACATGTCGCTAGCCAGGGCAAAGATTAACATTCAAAATTGAAAAGTATGGTTTGTATTTAATGTGTTGTTTTCACACCATCGTCAAGTTGAAAAATGTTAAGTGGAGCCACTGTAAATTGTGGACCAAACGTAATCACCTTCAGCGATCCAACAATCAACTATACCATATAAACTATAAGACAGAGAGTAAAAGACACTAGATTGTCATTAAATAGTATCTCTTGAACATTTTCTACATGTCAGACATTAAAATAGCCACCAGGCAACCCAATGACCAGACACATAATGTGAGCAATAGGGATAATAATTGTATAAAAGATACAGGGCATGGAACCCCCTCTGTGTTCCCTACGGTCAGTGGATGATTTAATAATGACTGTCACCTTTATCAGTTCCTTATGCTTGACATATTCAGTAATGGATACTCATTTTGTTTGCGGTTCGGGTAAAAGGGGTGAGTCAAATGAAATAAATATTTGAAATTTACCTGAAAATTTACTTGAAAATAAATAAAATTTACTTTTTTACTTGAAATAAATATAAACTCACATTCTCTTTCTTATCTCCCCTAATTATTTTTACTCTCTATATTACCAGTTGTGGAGCAAAGAAATAAGTCAGTTTTATAAAGTTAATTTTATCCCAGATCTCTATATGGCTGCCTGGATTTGAAGATGGCTACAAAGAATGATTACTGAAAAACCTGCAGCCATGTAACTGATGGTCCTGTCCATCCCAAGTGCAGGGGAAGAGTGTTCTTCGCTGTATGCCTACTATTTGTGTTCTGTTACTATTTCTGACGCTGCCTCTTGGGTTCACTGCCTTTGCTCAGAAAGAGGCATCCAAGAGTTTAAATTACACTTTTGCTAGATGTTTTAAAGAAAGTACTAATCATACATTAGTTTAGTTAGGGCCATTGCTCTTTTGATATCATCAAGACAATACAATTCAAAAGTTGTCATAATCTTCTTAACTGCTGCCCATTGTATTTAGGTCACAATTACATAAGAACTACTTCAACAGCTCAACTAAACTATGGATATATTTAGTCCGTACTCTCACAGGCTTTTAAAAGAGCAAATTATAACACAAACTTTGAAATTTGTTAAAATGACATTGTTCATAAATGTCACAACTGCTCCTAAACACATTAACTAAAACAACGTGATAAATTTACCTGAGCCCACACACTCCTTGGCTTTCCTGGTGGCTTAGATGGTAAAGAACATGCCTGCAATGCAGGAGACCTGGGTTTGATCCCTGGGTGGGGAAAATACCCTGGAGAAGGGAATGGCTACCCACTCCAGTATTCTTGCCTGGAGAATTCCATGGACAGAGGAGCCTGATGGGCTATAGTCTGTGAGGTCCCAAAGAGTTGGACATGACTGAGTGACTAATATTACACCCCTTAATTATAATGAATAACGTTTAGAATAAAATATAAATAGTTCTGTTTTTAAAATATTAATAATTTCATCTCTTCTACTGTTAATTTTCTCTCAGTTATTACCTTTATGTTATTTGGTTTTAATATAGTTCTATTACATTTAAGCCAAAATAATATTTTCTTTTAAAAACAAATCGATGTAGTAAACTGGTAACATTTCTACCTTTTAAACAGATGGTGTCCAGGTTGCACAGAGAATTTAAGTGATCAAAATAAATTAGGACAGCAAGTCAAAATTCAAACTGGCAAAACACTTGGGTCAAAAAAATAACACAAACCTTCCTGTTTTAGGGATCCAACTAGATTGTGTTACACGTTTATATAATCACCAAAGGAAGAACTATAGAAAATACAAAACCCAGGACACCCTAGAAAACTAGGTCATAATTAAATAACTATTTTCTGGATGGCTTCCTCTTTAGACATCACAGGATCTCACTTGAAACCGTTCACTGGGCTTGGCACTTGTTTACCTGAGGTGTTGAATGCACCCCCCGTTTCGCTGTCCTACTTGCACGTTTAATGGGAAGAGGAGTCCCTTTCCAAACACGGCTACCTTTGTAACAAAGCAGGAAAGGAAACAAACTGCACCTGGCAACTTCCAACCGCTTCCAGGGAGAGACAGCACAACTCTGCAATGCTCTTAGAATCACATATTATGGAAAACACTCTTTTAGAAAACGTTTCCCTTGTCGAAGACTTCCCATCTTATTAAACATTCCCTGCCTCTCTTTTGGAGTAGAAGCAGGTGTCGTAAGTGCCCTGTGAGAATAATTCTCTCCAGAAGTTCCGCCGAGAGGCAGTGACCGTCCCCTGCAAAGCCCCTGCAGCGGCGAAGGCGGGGCTCCGAGCGCCAGCGGCAGAGGTTAGGGGGCGCCAGGTACCCGAAATCGGGCCGAGTTGAGAGCAGCTCGACCGGGGGTCGGTTGGGCGGGGAAGCCTGCCTAGACCTCACCTCACGCCCCCAAATTTCTCTTCCTTTCCAAGTCCTCCTCTCCTTTCCCTCACACGCCCCTATATCCTCTTCTCCCTTCCCTTTCACGCCCCCCGAGTCTTCCTCAAACTGTCTACTGGAGTCACCCGAATTCTCTCTCTCCTTCTTTGGCGTTTTAACTGACTTTCCCCTTAAAATAGCTCCTCTCAAGATCTCCGAGTTCCTGCGCTACCGCGGCCTCCCGCCCCCGACACTCACGAGAAGAAGGGATCATCCTCAAAGCTGCTGCTCAGCATCCCGAACATCCTGGCTCTGTCTCGGGCAGCGGCGTTCGCGGACAGATTGGCAAACGATGTAACTCGCCGCGGCCGCGACCCGAGCCAGCCTGGCCAGCACTGTCAACGCTCGTCTCCCAGCCGCAAAGGCCGTGGCCGTCGCGAAAGGCGGTGCTTGACGCGGAGCTGCTTTCCTATTGGGCGCAGATCCCATAACGTCACCAAGACGAGGCGGGGAAACAGCGTGCCGCTGCCATGGCAACCACGAGCAACACGGTGCAGGCTAGAGGCTTGTCCAAGAGCCAGCCAGGCAACCCAACATGAAGCCTCCTGTGGGACAAGATAGCTCGTTCTCTGGGCTGCAGGAACACAGAAATTAGTCTACCCTCTGTGTGACCTTGGGTAAATCGCCCTCGGCCTCGAAAATGCTCTTTTCGGGAAAATGGAGATGGGGCAAGATTTGGGCTACACTGCATCCAAAGACCCTTTTACCGGCCTCATTTTGTGATCCACAGCAGAGTCCTGTCCGAAACACACTGTGGTGGTTGACCTAACGCTGTGAACAATAAGGAAAGATGTGCAAAAAGTTTTTGAGTGCATTTAGTAAATAGTGTGACTCAGTACTTTAGGGAAATGGGATGAGGCCTGTTAGATTTCAACAAATTTGTGTTTTGTGAGCCTAACCCGAAAGCAGTGTTTCCCAAGTGGGAAATGCTTAAGCTTTACGTATACATGGTATTTAAAAATAAGACGAGAATGTTGCTCTCTTCCATCCTCTTTCCAGTCTGTTTCAAGGAGCAAGTCTCACATTGGTGCTGGTGTGTCCTCAACACTTCTCCAGCATTCCTTAACCTAAGAGTGGGACTGCAGCAAGCAGCCATAGCCAACTAAAATTCCATTAGTGTATATTTTTGTTTTAACTATATTTATATATGAGCCTTCTGTTTATGGAAAGGAAAGTGGTCTTAAATTTAAAGCAGTAACTTTAAGTGAAAGTTTAAAAGTTTCAACATGTAAGTGAAACCATATGCTAATTTAAGGAAATAGCACAGGTGAGATGTGGATATGTTGGGGGGTGGTGGGAGGGGGGTGGTATCATGACAGTGGTTCTCACATTACTGAGCCTGGAAAACAGGGTCCTGAGGCGTTGCAGGAGCCTATAAAAATGTGGAGGAGAAGAAAGAGAATATTAGAGAAGGAGAAGATGATTAGGGGTCTAAGAAGAGAGAAAATGCATGTTGCATGCCCGTCCCTAACTAAGGATCCTTAACTGTGGGCTCCCCAGCATCTGCAGAGGGCTGTCTCGGGGAGACAGAGTGCTGTCCATGGCTGCACGGGGCCTCCTGGGACTGGGCCAGCAGAGTGGCGCTCTGCCAGCGTGAAGAAGTGGGCAGGGCCTGATTTGGAGGTGGCAGGAATACTCAGGGTTATTTTGGGAGCAGGAAATTTAATCCTTTGGACCTTTTACCTCCCCACCTTTAGCCAAGTTCTTTGATTCCCACCCCCATCCCCATCCTGAGACTGATGACGTGAGGTTGGGTAACCTTTACAGCCCAGGTTAAGACCTCATAGCCCTTCCGAGGAAGAGGATATTTTTTTTCTCCAGCCTCAGAGTAAAGTTCAGAGAGCATATACATATTAGGGATATTCTTAATTAGTTTCAAGGCAAAACAATTGTTTTAGAAGAACTGAAATTATTTTCTGTTTAAAATAATACAAACCAAGATGTTAAGGAGGCTAAAAAAAAAACTTAAATGAAAGGGGGTAAGTTATTGGTGATAAATGAGAGTATTAAAATAGTTTTGAATTAAGGTCAAACAAAGCAGTTTGTGGGAAGTTGTCCCCTTTTGTTCCCATGGGGAAATTTTTCTTAGCATTGCACTGTTGAAACATTTAAGCTTTATTTCAAGCATCGGTTAGTTCAGGGTGTTACAGTTTGGGCCTCATGCAAGTGCTTAAAAAAATGTTAGTAGAGGAAAGGGGAGAGCGGATGCTAAAGAGACTCACAGTTCCAGATCAGGTGGGTAACAGGTAGGAGGCCGAGCAGGGGAAAATAGAATTGCAAAGCAGGACTGTGGGGAAAGCGCCCTGGATTGTCTTGATCACAATAGATCATATGTACTGAATGTGTGCCAAGTACTACGGTAGGCACTTCATGTACATTAACTCATTAAATCCTCATGATTTTTATGGAGGAGTGATTGTTTTTATCTCCATTTACAGGTAATGCAACGAAGATACAGAGAAGCTAAGAAAGTTGCCAAAATTCACACAGCTAGAAATTGAACTGGGCAGAGAGCCTGGAGTTTTTGCTAGTAGGAGCTATTTGCATGGAATGTGGGTGATGGGCCACACAGAGATGCAGATGAAAGCAGGTTTTTATATCTCAAAATCATGTGAACAAACTAAATAATGCACTCATACTAAAAATTGTAAAATTCAGTGGAGATACATTTAAAATCAACATAACTTTACAAACATCTATTGAGTGCCTACCCTAATCAGAGACTTATCTAGACACTGAGGTGTTGGTGAACAAAACAGACAACAATTGCTGTTGTCCTGGAGCTTATATCTTGTGAATGGGCAGAATGAAAAATGCCACCACAGAAAGTCGTACGTATGTTGAAAGGTGACAGGTGTTAGGAGCAAAACCTGAGCAGGGTGAGGGGAATGGAGGAATGCAGTTTTAAACAAGGAGATCTGTGTGGATCTCACTGAGATGGTGAGTTTGAGCAGACCCACTGGAAGGAAGTGGACATCTATGAGAAGATCATTCCAGGCCACTGCAAAGGCCCCGAGGTAGCATGTGCCTGGTATATATAATGCACAATCCATTCATAGGTCAGAGGAATAAGATGGGCCAAGTAAAGTGAAAATAACCTATTAGGATAATAGCTCCTGTCTGTACTTATGTTCCAGGCATTGCCTTCAGTGCTTCACATACATTTTCTTACTTAATCCTTATAACAACTCTGTATACTGAGATGTTTATCTCCACATTACATATGGAAAACCCAGAGAGATTTGGTGATTGCCTAGTCAACTCAAACCCAAATTAGTCCTACTCCAAAGTGTATATTCTTGCCATCACCCTAATATGTCTCCCTATAAAAATTTATTATTTATTGAGCACCTCTATGTAGTAGGCATGGCACTAGTGGTAAAGAACCACATGCCAATGCAGGAAACAGAGGAGACATGGGTTTGATCCCTGGGTTGGGGAGATCCCCTGGAAGAAGACATGGCAACCCACTCCAGTATTCATGCCTGGAGAATCCCATGGACAGAGGAGCCTGGCAGGCAAGACTCCACAGGGTAGCAAAAAGGTAAGACTGAAGAGATTTGGCATGCATGCATGTACTAGGGATTTTTATGTATATAACCTCTAACCTCACTACAACTTAACATTTGGAAGGTCACTGACCAAGTTCAAAGAACACAGTGAAGGACATACGACCCAAGCCAACCCTATAACTCTCAAAAACACTGAGAGTTTACAATGAGTGCAATTGTATGGAAGTTTGAACATTCTTTGGCATTGCACTTCTTTGGGATTAGAATGAAAACTGACCTTTTCCAGTCCCGTGACCACAGCTGAGTTTTCCAAATTTGCTGACATATGGAGTACAGCACTATAATAGCATGATCTTTTAGGATTTGAAATAGCTAAGCTAGGATTCCATTACCTTCACTAACTTTTTTCTTAGTGATCCTTCCTAAGGCCCACTTGACTTCACACTCCAGGATGTCTGGCTCTAAGTGAGTGGCCACACCATCCTGGTTATGAGAGTCATTAAGACCTATTTTGTATAGTTCTTTTGTGTATTCTTGCCACCTCTTCTTAATGTCTTCTGCTTCTGTTAGGTCCTTACTATTTCCTTTTTCGTACCTATTCTTGCATAAAATGTTCCCTTGATATCTCCAGTTTTCTTCAAGAGATCTCTAGCCTTTGCATTCTATTGTTTTCCTCTATTTCTTTGCATTGTTCACTTAAGAAGACTTTCTTATCTCTCCCTTCTGTTCTTTGGAACTCTATATTCAGTTGGACAAATCTTTCCCTTTCTCCTTTGCCATTCATTTCTCTTCTTTTCTCAGCTATTTGTAGTCTCCCCAAACCACCACTTTGCTTTCTTTCATTTCTTATTCTTGAGGATGGTTTTGATCACTGCCTCCTGTACAACACTAAAGCATCTGACTGTGTGGATCACAACAAACTGTGGCAAATTCTTAAAGATATCAGAATACCAGACCAACTTATCTGCCTCCCGAGAAACCTGTATGCAGGTCAAGAAGCAACAGTGAGAACCAGAAATGGAACAAAAACTGGTTCAAAATTGGGAGAGGAATACAACAAGGCTGTATATTGTCACCCTGCTTATTTAACTTCTATGCAGAGCTGGATGAAACACAAGCTGGAATCAAGATTGCTGGGAGAAATATCAACAACCTTGGATATGGAGATGATACCACTCTAAGGGCAGAAAGTGAAGAGGAACTAAGTAGCCTCTTGACGAGGGTGAAAGAGGAGAGTGAAAAGGCTGGCTTGAAACTCAACATTAAAAAAACTAAGATCATGGCATCTGGTCCCATCACTTTATGGCAAATGGAAGGAGAAAAAGTGGAAGCAGTGACAGATTTTATTTCCTTGGGCTCTAAAATCACTGGAGACAGTGACTGCAGCCATGAAATTAAAAGACACGTGCTCCTTGGAAGAAAAGCTATGACCAACCTAGACAGCATATTAAAAAGCAGAGACATTACTTTGCCAACAAAGGTCAATCTAGTCAAAGCTATGGGTTTTCCAGTAGTCATGTATGGATGTGAGAGTTGGACTATAAAGAAAGCTGAGTGCTGAAGAATTGATGCTTTTGAACTGTGGTGTTGGAGAAGACTCTTGAGAGTCCCTTGAACTGCAAGGAGATCCAACCAGTCCATCTGAAAGGAAATCAGTCCTGAATATTCATTGGAAGGACTCATGCTGAAGCTGAAACTCCAATGCTTTGGCCACCTGATGTGAAAAGCTGACT